AGGTAGGGCCAGGCCCTGGAGGAAGGGGAGGGAGGGACCGGGCGAGACCAGAGACAAGGACACGGGAGGCCATGCCTTGGAGACGAAGCAGGGAGGGGTGACCAAGGCGGTGGTGCCAGAGTAGAGTCTTGTGAGATAGGAGGCGACACGAGCAGGGGGCAGACTCAGGACTAGACCTGGACGGTGCAGCAAATACCTGACCCGACGCAGCTACCTGACCAGACACAGTGACGGGAGGAGATGCAGTGGTCAGTGTGTACAGGCTCGACCCCGGCCGACGTGTAAACGTGGCCAGGTGTCGGCCTGTCCGAGCGTCCGTGCAGTGGGTCACCCGCTGACTCGCAGGAGTGAACTGGTGAACCCCCGCATCCTGTAGGTCAGCACCACTCACCAAGTTCATAGAGAACGAGGGGAGGTAAAGGCCAGACAGGGTGCCAGAGGGGGCCGCCGGACACGGGAGGACAGTGGAGAAGTGAGCAAGGACAGGTCCCCCAGAGGGGTCTGCCAGAGAGACTGCAACTGGCCGGCCAAGCGGCGTGAGTGTGGTGCGGTCTCGAAAGAAGGAGCGAGAAGCCCCCGAATCAAGGGTGAAGGTGTGGGAGGCCGAAGCCGACGCAGTACCTGAGAGAGCAGACTCACCAGCACCTGAGGGAGCAGACGCACGAGAACCTAGAGCAGCAGCCTCGCTAGCACCTAGAGCAGCAGCCTCACCAGTACCTAGAGCAGCAGTCTCAATGCCCGGGTCGGGCGGAAAATACCGGTAACAGTCACCCTCATCGCTAATAGTCACAGCATGCATGGCAGCAAGAATAGCATCAAAGTCAAGGTCAAAGACAGCTACTCCCGCCCTAGACAGCTCGCCCCAGCGGGGGATCTTAGTGGCCTCCGGGAACTGGTGACGCCAAGCGTCCGTCAGGCGGCCAAAGCAGCGCTGGGTGGAGTGCGCACCCCCGCACTGCTCACCCGCGCGGTCGCCGGTGCGTAGGACGTAGGTGCACGGACCAGTACCCCCACCCCGCTGGCGTGCAACGTACCACTCACGGAGCTGCTGAGGGGGGTGGATGTCACGAGTGCGCTGCTGCTGCTGCTGCTGCTGCTGCTGGCGCTGACCACCACCGGAGCCGACCCTCTGCGCAACGCCACCCCGACCAGCTCCACCTCCTCCGCCACCGCCTCCTCCACCGCGCCACCTCCGCCACCTCCTCTCCCACCGCCACTGCCGCCGCCGCCTCCGCCTCCACTGCCGCCACCGACACCTCCACCCCCGCCACCACCCCCACCGCCACCCCCACCCCCTCCGTCGCCTCCACCACCTCCTCCACCGCCCCCGCTAGCTCCTCCAGCGCCCCTACCCCCCTTGCCCTTGCCAGGGCGGCGTCTCCCGCTAGGGGTAGACGCCGCACCAACCGACTCAAGACCAACGAGGTCGGCCGCAGCAGCAGAGGCAACAGAGGGCAAAAGGGGGGAGGGGGAACACCCCTCAAAGATGGGGGTGCGAGGGTCACCACGAGCTACTATGCTCTTCTCTGCTGCTAGGAGGGCCTTCTCGAGGAGGTCAACGGTGAGAGTGGTGGGGAAAACTGAGAGGAAGTGGTCCCTGACTACGCGAAGGGAGTCAGGGAGCCGGGTGACTATGTAGTAGAGGGTGATGTACATGGGGGGGGGGGGGTTCTTGGCGCAGAACTCAGCAGGAAGCGCAGCAAGGTAGCGAGTGTCACTAGTGCGGAGGTGCGTAAGGAGGTCAGCGACTGTGGGAAAGGCAGCAAGGTCAGGGAAGAGGTACGGTAGCATGAGGCGGCTCACTGCAGCAGTGGCAGGGGAGGAGTAGCGCGCAACTACAGGGTCGTACAAGGTCTGAGCACTCTTGTACTGATTAAAGTGCGCACGCTCAGAGGTAGGCAGGTGGCGACGCACAGCAAGACGTGGAGCAGCATCGCGTGTGGCCCACTGTGAGCGAACAGTGGCGTCGGCATCAGCAGCAGGGGCAGGAGAGGCACCAGAGGTGAGGTCAAAGAGGGAGAGACCGTCTGCCCTATCGCACTGTAGGAAAAGCTGCAGGTCATCTACCCAGACGTCAAAGTCAATGGCCTGACCCTCCACGTCAAAACCGAGGACGCTAGGGGTAGCCATGACAGCAGTAGACTAGTAGCGCGAACAGTAGGGTAAGGGCAGTGTAGTGACTGAGGCGCTGCTCTTACCGGACAGGGCTGCTCGGGCGCCTCGGCAGCTCGGCGGCTCGGTAGTACGGTGGCTCGGCAGCAAATGCGGCTCGGCGACTCGGCGGCTCGGGTGGCTCAGGTGGCGCGGCGGCTCGGGCGGCTCGGGTGGATCGGGCGGCTCGGCAGGAGCTCGGCGGCGCCGGCGGCTCGGTGGTGACGGCGAGGCCGCGTGGGGACGGCGACGGGGCCGGGTGGAGCGGCGGCGGGGCCGGGTGGAGCGGCGTCGGGGCCGGGTGGAGCAGCGTCGGGGCCGGGTGGAGCGGCGTCGGGGCCAGTAGAGGCGGCGCCGGGGCCGGGTAGGGCAGCTCCGGGGCCGCAGGGGTAGGCGACGGGGCCAGCAGAGGCGGCGCCGAGGCAGGGGTAGGCGACGGGCCGCTAGGGCGGCTAGGAGGGGGGGGGGTCGCGACGGCGGCTTGAAGAGGCCGCGAGGGCGGCACGAAGGGGCCGCGAGGGCGGCGCGATGCGACGGAGCCGCGAGGGCGGCGGATCGGGGCCGCGAGGGCGGCGCGACGCGGCCGCTAGGGCGGCGCGACGTGGAGGGGCCGCGAGGGCGACGCGACGGGGCCGCAAGCGCGACGCGACGGGGCCGCTAAGGCGGCTCGACAGGGTCGAAAGGGCAGCGCGACGGGGCCGTGAGAGGGGAGCGCGACTCGGGCAGTGTAAAGCGCGCTCCGGGCAGGGAAAAAAGAAAAAAAAAAAAGGTGGTGGGCCCTAGGAACAGTTCCCACAGGGGAACCTGCTCGATACCATGAGAAAATGAACGAGAATGTTTTGACTAAGGGAAAGTTGGGTACAAGTACAAACCCTAGAAAGCTGTACCCCATATGTGTTACCCCACTATAGCCTACAGTAGCTATGTCATATAAATCTGACAAAGCGCTGCGCCTCGAAGAAGCGAAACCGCGTAATTAAGACGCGTGGCGTCGTCATTAACTCCCGCTGCAGTGAAGAAGACCTCGACCCCAAACACCCACCCCTTTACTGTAATCGTCTTATCTGTAGGATTAAACGGGGGTGGGTTGACGGGTTTTATCTTGATCGTCGTAACTGCAACTGGTGCTGCTGCCGCTCGCTGCCTGTCCTCCTCTTCGAAGTCACGTGTGAACGCGTCCAAACGATTGCTCACCGCTTGACTGTTGCCCTCGCCTTCTTCGAGCGACACCTGACGCGCTTCACCTCGCGTCCGGTGCAGCTCGGCGTTTTCTTCACGCAGTGTTGTCACTTCCGCCATTAACAATTTCATGCCCTCCTGCATCTCTGCCACTTGCGCCATCAACTTGTTAACTGCCTCTTGATCCATGTGCCTGGCGCTACGTCTGGTGGGCAATCGGGTCCCCGTGGCCTTCAGGCAAGTGAAAACACGAACTATCGGAGTCGGGCAGGATTGAATTAACAATCCCTGCGGCCAACAGTCGTGTAGTCACTAAACCAGCCACACCCGTGCCACCTAAACTACCCTCGGAAAAGCGGGGTGAACTAGGAAAGTAGCTCTGATAACAGGTGTTATGAGTTGTAAAAGAGAGTGCGCAGGTAAACGAATAACGAGACTGTGATTGAATGAACTGAGAATACAATGAAGGCACTGAATAATGTAGGAACTAGCCTAGCTGGGAGGGAACCTCGGACGAGCAAGGTTGGGTGCGGGTTTGGCGATTGGGAAATGCCGAAGGCGACGCGAGGAGCCTCGGCAGCGTTGAAATCGGCCGAACGTGCGAAGTCCGAAAATCGAGCAGTACGCGAAGCAGTCAACCCCGATAAGGAATTCGGGAAAATTCCTTACATATTTAGGTTAAACCCTTGTTACAGTAACACTGAGAACATTCATTGGAGGAAAATAAAAGCATGTCTATGTGAAAACGAATGGTACTTGTATTTGTCAACTCAAGCTATAATTTTCATCGAATAGTACTCAAATAGGCAAACGGTGACTCGATAGGGCGTCAAATGCCATTCAGCTCCCGCAGGTGGCTCTGAGCAACTGCCCTGCTGCAGTACGGTCTGCTTTGGTGTACAACAGTATAATAAATGTTTTCCCCAACCATTATTCTGACTATTCATTGCATTTTGCTGGGCAAAAAAGGGTAAGCTCAATCTACAATCGGCGGAAGTCACTCATCATGACATGAAATGCAATGATGGTTGCAATGCAATGATCACTGGTGGTACTGTACGTCATCATCAAACACCAGAAGATTAGAAGCAAAACTCGCTAAAAACGTTTTCTTAACCTAGCTAAAATTTGGGTGTTCTTCTCCCGGCAGAGGAGCAAAACCATCCTTGATCCCTTGCAAGATCCCAGAAACCTCCGCCAAGTCAGCCTGAACCTGGCTCTCAAAGTCCCCCTTACCGAACGTCAGATAATACCGCAGCTCGCATGCGTACGCCAAGTGGTGGTAGCACGCGTTCTCGTATTTGTCGGGGCGAATCTCAAGCACTGTGGCGTTGGCTGGCATGAAGACCATGTTGGCCATGGCTGCCCCGTGCCCTGCAACGAACAGACGAGCCCTTCGGAAGAGATTCCGTGCTGGACGAACGGGGGGGAGGTTGGGGGAGGGGGTGGAGGGGGGGGGGGGGAGGGGGGGGGAGGGGGGGTGAACAGGGGAGAAAAGCAGTGGCAAAGAAAAAAGGGGGTACGATTTGGGGGAGAGAGCTGGCATGAAGACCAAGTTGGCCATGGACATTTGAGACGTCTCAAAAGTCAGTTTGAGGAAGGGGGAGGGCTGGCATGAGGACCATGTTGGCCATGGCTGCCCCGTGACCCGCCACAAAGAGGCGAGCCCTTCAGAACAGGTTGCGCGCTGACAGAAAAAGGGGAGAGGTGGGAAAAAAAGAGTGCCGTTGAGAGGGGGTGTAGACTATGAGAGAGGGAGGGAGGGAGTTGGCTGGCATGAAGACCATGCTGGCCATGGCTGTCCCGTGAGCTGCCACAAAGAGACGATCCCTTCGGAACAGAATGTGCGCTGACAGAAAGGGACAGGGGGGGAGGGGCCGTTTGGAGGAGCAAGAGCGGGGATGGAGAAGCGGGGGTTGGGGGGGGGAAAGGGGGCATCGGTTGGAGCAGAGAAGAGGGAGGGCGGGGGAGAGGGTGTGAGTGGGTGGCAAATCGTGAGGGAGGGGATGGGGTGGAGAGAGGCGTGCAAAATGTGAGGGAGCAAGGTGAGTGGCATGGACCATGTTGGCCATGGCTAACCCATGGGGGTGAAAGGAAAGAGAGGGAAGGCCAGGGGCGAAATCTAAATAATAATAATAATATTAAAAAAAACATATGATACAAAGGACAATAGGTACACCTGTATTTTTTTTTTTTCCAATTTTGCTTAAAGGGGTGGCAAGGGAGGGGCGGCATGGGAGGGGCGGCATGGGAGGGGCGGCATGGGAGGGGTGGCATGGGAGGGGCGGCATGGGAGGGGCGGCATGGGAGGGGCGGCTAGGGAGGGGCGGCATGGGAGGGGCGACATGGGAGGGGCGGCATGGGAGGGGCGGCATGGGAGGGGCGGCTAGGGAGGGGCGGCATGGGAGGGGCGACATGGGAGGGGCGGCATGGGAGGGGAGGGGCGGCTCACACACTCACCATGAAGGATGGGCAGCGACCCATCAAACACTTGCACGCGCGTGTGGCCGAATATTCTCTTTATAGACTCCAGCAGCTCATCAAACTTCTCCAGAGCCCTCTTGACGCCCGGGCGGCGGGCGACAACGACGAGCCAATCAGGAGGCACCACGGAGGCATTTTTAGAATCGAGGGCGCTGACATGGCGCACGTCCCATTGGTTGTTGCGGAACATTGGGAGGCCTTTGGGCGGCAGGAGGAAGCGATGACGAATGTCTGTCCAGATGGACGGGCTGGCCTTGCCGCACGCTTGGTACAGCGGCTGGGTGGGTGTGGGGGGGGGGGGGGGGGGGGGGGGGGGGTGGGAGTTTGGAAGCGAGGTGGGGTAGGAGGTGACAGGGCACTGGTTGGTCTATTGTTGATGCAGGATGAAGCAGTGGCGAATGGCGGTCCAGATAACAGGCTTGCCATGCCGCAGGCTTGGTACAGAGGCTGGAGCGAGAGGCAAGATTGGAACAGGGTGGGGAAGCCGAAGAAATCGTAAAAAAAAAGTTAAATCGAGCTGCGCATTGGTGTTAATGTTGGTCCAGATGGATGGGCTGGCCTTGCTGCAGGCTTGGTACAGAGGCTGGGGTGGGAAGTTAGGAATGAGTGGGGAAGAAAAAGGAATCCGAATCGACTCAAATCGGAAATTAATACGCTCCTCAAAGACAACACAGGATAGTCTATACTTCACTACTCACAATACACATCACCACACATCGCCACCCGTCTCACCACACATCGCCACCCGTCTCTCACCACACGTACTGCTGCTCACACACATCACCACCGTTCACCACACAGTGCCACCACTCACCACACAGTGCCACCACTCACCACACATCACCACCGCTCACCACATAGACCTCCTCCGCAAAGTAGATCTCTCCATCGCAAAGCTCTTTGTAAGGTCCTTGCTCAGTAGCGGCTGTGCCACATGCTGGTAGCAAAACTCAACACCTGGCCACCACTCACCACATAGACCTCTTCCGCAAAGTAGATCTCTCCATCGCTGATATTCAGAATAGCGGTCTTTGAGAGATCATTGCCCAATAGCGGCTGCGCAACGTGTTGGTAAAAGTCCCACTGCAGAGAGATTACGGGGGGGAGAGGGTGGGCAGGAAGAGGGTTGTTGATTGGGAGACGAGCACTGTTCGAAAGGTCCTTGCCCAGCAGTGGGTGTGCCACGTGACTTTTGTTTTGAGTCGACTCAAACGTTTGAAGTCCCACAGCACGGGAGCGGCTGTGCGACGTGCTGGTAGAAGTCCCACTGCCGGGCGGTGGATGGGGGGAGAGAGATGGTTGGTTGGAGTGAGAGAGGAAGGGAGTGAGAGGTGGTTGATCGTGGTGAGAGAGGAAGGGAGTGAGAGGTGGTTGATCGTGGTGAGAGAGGAAGGGAGTGAGAGGTGGTTGATCGTGGTGAGAGAGGAAGGGAGTGAGAGGTGGTTGATCGTGGTGAGAGAGGAAGGGAGTGAGAGGTGGTTGATCGTGGTGAGAGAGGAAGGGAGTGAGAGGTGGTTGATCGTGGTGAGAGAGGTAGGGAAGGGGGCTCTTTCGGTGGCTTCCTGCCCAGCAGCAGCTGTGCAGCACCGAAAGATTTTGAGGCGCCTCAAAAATCGTGAGAGGGAGGGAAGGGGGGTCCTTCCCCAGCCGCAGCTGTGCAGCACGGAGCGACCCACTTCCCACTTTCTATTCTGCAAAACGGAAAGTGTGGCAGAATAGAAAGTGGGGGCGAGTAGGAAAAGGTACACAGCGAGGGATGCACCATGCCCTGCCCTGCCTGCCCCACCCACCATTCACCACCCACCTGGCCAGCATGAGCGAGCAGCGGGAGCGTGGGGGCATTGTGAAGCGTGGAGGCAAGGAGGAGGAGCTGGGGCGTCTACTTAGTGAAACCTACCATATTCGCCCATGCACCACACCATGCCTGCCGTATGAGGTGCCTCAAGAACCACCCACCTGGCCAGCGTGAGCGAGCAGAGAGAGCGTGGGGACGGTGTGCAGCGAGGAGGCGAGGAGGAGGAGGAGATGGTGCGTCCACTACCCACCACATTCGCCCACACACTGCACCTACCTAGCTTTGCTTGGCCCACTGACCTGGCCAGCATGTGCGAGCAAGGGAAGCGTGGGGGCGGTGTGGAGGGTGGAGGCGAGGAGGAGGAGCTGGGGCGTCCATTCGATGAGCCCGTGGTAGAAGGAGGAGGCCTGCCTGTACACCAGGTTCACCACCCTCTTGATCCTCTTTATCTTCGTTCCCTTCTTGTATTGAAACTGCAAGAGAGACGTGTTGGGATGGGAGTGGGGATGGCATGAAGGGAGGGCGTCCACTCGATGAGCCCGTGGTAGAAGGAGGAGGCCTGCCTGTACACCAGGTTCACCACCCTCTTGATCTTCTTAATCTTCGTGCCTTTATTGTACTCAAACTGCACAGTCACCGAGGGAGAAGCAGCAGGACAGATGGAACACCAGTTCACCAGCCACCGCCTTTTGAGACGTCTCAAAAGTCGGACGGAACACCAGTTCACCAGCCGCCGCAGGAAAGACGCATGAAAGACGGGAGAAAAGGCGGAGCCAGAAACACAGGGAAAACAGGTTCCTTCCAGACCAGTACTCAAGATCAGGGACGAAAAGAAGGGACGGGGAAGGGCGGCTGGACTTGAAGCACTTCACAAGCGGAACAGGAGGTCTATGTTCCTCCCTGCGTTCTCTATCAACTGCGTTTCATGTGAATTCACTGCACCTCCTCACCGCATCACACCACACCGCACCTTGCTGTCCCAGTTGCGACGCTCACAGTGGAAGTGCGTTGTCTTGTTGAACATGAGCCCCTCGTCGTTGATGTACCTTTGAGACGTCTCAATGATCGGCACCGCATCCCATCCCACATAACCTCACTGCACCACACCCCACCGCATCACACATCCCACCGCATCCCACCTCAGCGCACCGCACCGCACCTCGCTGTCCCAGTTGCAGCCCTCACGGTGGAAGTGAGTTGTCTTGTTGAACATGAGCCCCTCGTCGTTGATGTACACGTTGCGCAGCTTGTACACCTGGTGGTGCAGTGCGGTGCAGATGGAGGGAGAGGGACGGGGGGAAGGAGATTGGGGGAGAGAGAGACAGTCATCACAGCAGCTAAGAATTCGAGCAAAGAATGGCAATGAAAGAGATTAGCCAGACATGAATGCAGAGATGGGCTGGACAATAATCTCGCTGGCTGGGCACTCCAAAACCAATATCAGAATCAGAATCAAGATCAAAAATCAAAATCAGCATGAGGAAGACTACACAAACCCACCTGGAAGATCTGCCACTCGAACCAGAAGAAATCAGCAGCATGTGTGCAGCTCTCGTTCCTTCCCTCAGGCCCCATGTGCGACCGGTCCTCCTTCGGGCAGTTCACCGGCACGGGCGGCTTTGGAAACCCCTCATCCCTCCATCCTGCGGCCGGCGTGCAAGCAGACGCATCCGGCCGTATGTCGCAGCTGCCCGAGAAATCCGGGCAGGAGTTGCCCGGGCACTCGAGAGAAAGCATGTTCGGGGAGTGGGTCGAGCCCATGTTCAGGTGCAGATTGTCCATTTCTGCCCGGATAAAATCTTCGGGCATCGTCCCTTCCTTGACTGAACCCTCGTCTATAGGAGTGACAAACCCCATCTCTCTCGCACTCTTCCCTCCTCCCTCTGCTAGTCTCTCCACCCACTCCCTCCCCTCTTCCAACAGTGGGTCCTCCTCCTGCTCCCGAACCCTCATCATAGTATAATCCGAAATATTCTTCAGCACGGGCAGCACGTCGGGCAGGTGAAACTCGAGCGGCGTGTCCTTGGTACCGTTCCCGAAAACCAAAAAGTACTTCTGCTGGGAAGCAGAAGCTAAGTGGTGGTAGCAGGCGTTGAGGTAGTCCCGAGGGCGGATCTCAAGCACACAGGAGGCGGACGGCATGAAGACCAGGTTGGCCATGGCTGCCCCGTGTGATGCGATGTACACCGCTGCCCGGTTGAACAGCGCCCGCGCTGGAAGCGGATCATGACATTGTGAGAGGGGCAGACAGGCAAACAAAAAGAGAGTTTGAGGCCTGGAAGGTGCCTTGGTTGGGATTGGGGAAGCGGAGGGGAGGCCGTGGTATGGTAGCAGCTTTGGGTTCCCCAATCCCAACCCCAATCAACATGGCACCAATCTCAAGCACACAGGAGGCAGACGGCATGAAGACCAGGTTCGCCATGGCTGCCCCGTGTGATGCGATGTACACCGCTGCCCGGTTGAACAGCGCCCGCGCTGGGAGTGGGGAGGGGGAGGGGCAGGCAGGCAGATACAAAGAGTGTTTGAGGCGTGAAAGGTGCTTTGGTTGGTGGGATTGGGGACGCGGAGGTGACGCGGAGCTAGCAGCCTAGTGGGCAGCCCAGCAGGCGTTGAGGTTGAGGTAGTCCCGGGGGCGGATCTCGAGTACACAGGAGGCGGAGGGCATGAAGACCAGATTCGCCATGGCTGCCCCGGTTGAAGAGTGCCCTGGCTGGTGGTTGGGGAGGGGAGAGGTGGGGGGAGGATAGAGGGAAAGGTGGGAGAAGGAGCAGGTTGGCCATGGCTGCTCCATGTGATGCGATGTAGACTGCTGCCCGGTTGAAGAGTGCCCTCTCTGGGGGAAGGGAATTGGCAGGAGAGGGGGGAGGAAAGAGGGCCAGGGCGAGGAAGGTCGCCATGGCTGCTCCATGTGATGCGATGTAGACTGCTGCCCGGTTGAAGACGGAATGAATGCACAGCAGACGGAATGAATGTACAGCAGACGGAATGAATGCACAGCAGACGGAATGAATGTACAGCAGACGGAATGAATGCACAGCAGACGGAATGAATGTACAGCAGACGGAATGAATGCACAGCAGACGGAATGAATGTACAGCAGACGGAATGAATGTACAGCAGACGGAATGAATGTACAGCAGACGGAATGAATGTACAGCAGACGGAATGAATGTACAGCAGACGGAATGAATGTACAGCAGACGGAATGAATGTACAGCAGACGGAATGAATGTACAGCAGACGGAATGAATGTACAGCAGACGGAATGAATGTACAGCAGACGGAATGAATGTACACCAGACAGAATGAATGCACAGCAGACGGAATGAATGTACAGCAGACGGAATGAATGTACAGCAGAAACCGGTTGGCTGGGGTTTCCGCACTGAAACCGGTCTGCACCGCACTGGCCCATACGTCCCTTCCAGGATGGGTACTGACCCGTTGAAAATCACGACCCTCTCCTTTCCAAACATCTCCTCCACTGCCTCCAGCAGCCCTTCAAACCCCACCATCTTCCTTGTATTCCCCGGGCGTCTCGCCACCACCACCACCCAGTCTGCTGGTAACACAGCAGCGCGTGCGTCGGACCACGGGCCAAAGGAGTGGAGGTGTGGGCTGGCAGCTGGTTGGGGTTCAGGCACTGAAACCGGTCTACTCCGCACTGGACCGCACATAGGACGTACCTTCCAGGATGGGTATCGAGCCGTTGAAAACGACGACCCTGTCCTTCCCAAACATCCCTTCCACTGCTTCCAGCAGCCCTTCGAACCCCACCATCTTCCTTGTATTCCCCGGCCGCCTCGCCATCACCACCACCCAGTTTGATGGCAGCACAGCAGCCCGCGCGTCGGACCACGGGCCGGGGGAGTGGGCGCGGAGGCGCCAGGGGGAGGAGAAGAGAGGCAGGCCGTCGGGGGGGAGGAGGTAGTTGAGGCGCAGGTGGCGCCACAGGCTGGGGCTGGGCTTGCCGCATCCCTGGTACACGGGCTGTTGGGGGGTTGAAGGGGGGGGGGGGGGAGGGGGGGGAGGGGAGGGGAGGGCGGGAAGAGAAAGAAGGAGAAGAGGGGCAGGCTGTCAGGAGGGAGGAGGTAGTTGAGGCGCAGATGGCGCCACAGGCTGGGGCTGAGCTTGCCGCAGCCTTGGTACACGGGCTGTGGAGGGGAGGAGAGGGGGAGAGGGGGGGAAGAGAACAGATGGGGGAAACGGGGGAAAGACAGGGGGGAGGAGGAGTTGAGACACAGGTGGCGCCACAGGCTGGGGCTGGGCTTGCCGCAGCCTTGGTACACGGGCTGTGGGGGGGAGTGGGGGGGGGAAGAGGGTAATACAATGAATAATGGAGCACACAGCACCGCACAGTACCGCACAGCACCGCACAGAACCGACCTGGTAGACAACATCAGCGTGGATGAGCTTGGAGCAGTGTGTGTCCTCCACCGCTATCAGGTTCATCTGAGTCGTCCTGATAAACAGCACAGCACTGGATCGCACCGCACAGCACCACACAGTACCTGGTAGACAACGTCGGCGTGAATGAGCTTGGAGCGGTGTGTGTCCTCCACCACTGTCAGGTTCATCTTTAAAGGGCCTTCTACTGGAACATCAGCACCGCACAGAACCACACCGTACCTGGTAGACAACATCAGCGTGAATGAGCTTGGAGCGGTGCGTGTCCTCCACCACTATCAGGTTCATCTGTGTCGTCTCCAGACCCACCAGGTGCTTCACCATCTCGTTGTAGAAGGCCAGCTTGTAACGAGTACAACCAGGGAAGGGCAGGACAGGCAGGCAGGCAGGACAGGCAGGCAGGCACAGAAAAGAGAAGGGAAGAGAGATTTGAGATTGCTGAACGAATAGCCTAGCTGTTTTGTCCACCGTGTCATGTACAGAAATTTCATCCCCCTTGTGTGTGCGCAAGTGCATCCCCGTTTAAGCCTCCTTCCATTACAAAGGCATGTGAATTACCAGCAAAAATGTGGGTGCGTTGGTGCGTCTTGTTTTAGTTGTTGTTAACGAGAAGAGTTCCAGCGACCTGACTCTCGGTTTTTTGCTAGTGTTATAGCTTTACACGCTTTTCCTACTTGCTTAAACCTAGCTCCTAAGCATCCCAGCTCACTGGAAGAATGGCACAAGGTCTGCATACCTGGCACAAGGTCTGCATACCTGGCACAAGGTCTGCATACCTGGCACAAGGTCTGCATACCTGGCACAAGGTCTGCATACCTGGCAAAAGGTCTGCATACCTGGCACAAGGTCTGCATACCTGGCACAAGGTCTGCATACCTGGCTGCGGCGGAAGAGGATGGGGATGTCAGGGTTGGCGCGCAGCAGGTCAGCAAGCATGAGGAACTGGGGGAAGAACTCCACGAGCGAGTGGTAGAATGCCACTGCATGGTTGTACGCGAGTGACACCACCCGGTGCAGCTTCATCACCTGGGACTCCCCTGCCTTGTAGTCAAACTGGTGTAGGCGGGATTGGGCGGGATGGGGACAGAGAGCATGAGGAAGGAACTGGGGGAAGAACGCCACGAGGGAGTGGTAGAGGGCGAATGCATGGTTGTACGCGAGTGACACCACCCGGTGCAGCTTCATCACCTGCGCTTCCCCTGCCTTGTAGTCAAACTGATGGAGGGTAGGGGTTCGGGTGGGGTTGGTAGCGGTGGAGTGGGGTGGGCAGAAGCAGGGTAATGGCTCAAAGCAAGTCAGCGAGCATGAGGAACTGGGGGAAGAACTCCAGGAGTGAGTGGTCGAAGGCCACTGCATGGTTGTATGCGAGAGACACCACCAGGTGCAGCTTCATCCCCTGGGATTCCCCTGCCTTGTAGTGAAACTGGTGGGGGGGTGGGAGGTAGGGTGGCGGAGAGAGAAGGAAGGAGGGGTTGTGGTGTGGAGTGGTAGGATGTGCGGTGCTGTGTGGTGTACTTGTATGCCAGGGAGGGCACTGTGCCCCCCATTCTTTCCATCTCCCCTCGTTCATAAAACCCCCATGCCACAATACCCCCACTCACTCTCTCTCCCCCCTTAGCGCACCTCCAGGTCTCGGAAGCACCAATGGCAGTTTAAGTGCCGGAAGCGGTTGAACACAGCATGTTGATCCCCCCAAGATCCCCCCAATTTACCCAACCCCCCTCCACCCCTCTAATCCCCCAGCGCACCTCCAGATCTCGGAAGCACCAATGGCAGTTTAAGTGCCGGAAGCGGTTGAACACAACATGTTGATCCCCCCAAGATCCCCCCAATTTACCCAACCCCCCTCCACCCCTCTAATCCCCCAGTGCACCTCCAGGTCTCGGAAGCACCCATGGCAGTTGAAGTGCAAGGAGCAGTTGAACACAATAAGTTGGTCCCCCAAATATGCCCCCATCTTGCCCCCCTCCCCCCCCCCCGCCATCATCCCCCCAACGCACATCTACGTTGGCAGATACGCGTCCCAGGGTATAATACGCTAGCGTATTATACGCTGGGTATATACGCGGTACGCCAGGGCTGGCGTACTGGTGATACGCAAAAATACGCTGGGCGGGCAGGTAAAACTTTTTTCCCGGGCAGGGCTAAAAATTCCTGTTTCAGGGGGGGGGATTGTTTTCCAAGAACACAAGTCATAATTTAAATTTCATAAATATCCAGAAATACATATTTGGGGCTACTTCTCCCCATACATCCCCACCCCACCCCACCCTCTAGCTAGCTTCCCCACAACCGATTTCCTTGCGGGGCTTTTCCACCACCACACCTTCCCCATACTCATCCGCCAGCACTGCATCCTCTCCTTCCTCCCCCAGCATGTCATCCTCCTCCTCATCCATGTTATAGCCGGGGGGGATAGGGGCATCCGGGATGTTACCAGGCACAACCGTGCTGCCCCCATCCTTCTTGTACCAATTGCGCACAACGTTCCAGTTGTGCGCAATGTAGACGAGGTCCGCACACTTGGCGGACCCGAGCCGGTTGCGGCGGGCGGTGTGGACGCCTTCCCACTGCGCCCAGCCACGCTCGCATGGGGAAGCCGAGACGGGCTGAGTGAGCACCCGGCATGCGAGGGCGGCAAGCTCAGGATACTCGGTGCTGTGCCACGACCACCACTGCACCATGCTCATCTCCCCCTTCTTCACTGCCTCCCTTGCAGAAATGGCGCCCGGCTTGCCAAAGCTGCCCTCCATGTTGATGTAGGCCAGCAATGCCTCCTGCAGCACAAGGGAGGCGCGGCGAGGGGCGCCATCCTTGCCACGCTTGACGGTCTTGTTGTCATAGTGGCGCTCGATGTAGTCCTTGAACACCCGCGTGCACTCCACATCGTTCCTGAAAATTCTCTCCTCCTGGTTGGCCGGATTCAGGATCCGGCCAACCACATGCATGGGGCAGGCAAGGGAGTTGTCCCACCTGTCCTTCACAATCTTGGTCATGTCTGCCCTCTCTGTCCGAGTCAAGACGTCACTTGAAGCGTCGAGCTTGTCATTGATGTCCTCGGTAAGTTGTAGCATGATGTCATACAGCTTACCCATCATGCCTTTCGCGGAAGAGTCCGTGGCCCGCATGGCCTTGAATGGCACCGCCATGAGAGAGGTAAAGAACTCCGCCACCCCCCAGCACTCCTCATCCATCACAGCAGCCCTGAATTTCTCAGCTGCTGTCTTCCTATCCTTGTCCGCCGCTGCCCACACCTTCCACTCGTCGCTGAGCACCATCGCCGCCAGCCCACTCCTCACCTCACATAGCCGAGCCATGGCTATGTATTGTGTCCCGAACCTGGTTCCTGCAGGCTTGAGCACCTGCTTCCCCCCCACTTTCTTCATATAGGCACGGGTAAAGTGGTGGTTGCGCACGAAGGTAATCATCTCCCCTCCTTTATCCACAAGCCCCTTCGCCCATCCCATTTTGCCCATATCTTCCATCATCAGGTCCAAGACATGCGTGGCACATGGCACATGCTCAATGTGCGGCCATGTGCTCGCAATCTTCTTGGCGGCCGATGCATAGTTGCTGCCGCCATCGGTGCAGACCGCCACCACATTCTCCGGCCCCACCTTATCAATGACGGGGCGGAGAAGGCTGGCGATGTACCCCCCGGTCTTCGACTCCATGTTGCAGTCCACCGCCTGCTCGAAAACTGCGCCGGAGTCGTTGACAAGGAGCACGTTGGCCTGCGGGCGGCCACAACGGTCGGTCATCATGTCCGACGACAGCGTTACCCCGTCCCGCTTCCAGCTCGCGGCAACGGGGGCGAACGCGACCTCTATTTTCTGCCGCACCTTCTTCAAGCCCGCCCCTCCAATGTAGCGCCTCTTACGAGGGACGTACCCAGGTCCAGCGCGCGCAATGCACTGGACCGCGTAGCGGAAGACCGGATCGTCCGCAATACGCTCCGGAAGTTTCAGCGCCGCGAACAGAAGGCAAAGCGCGTTATCTGCGTCCTCCTTGGCGCACGTCGCCTCATTGCCAAAGAAATCCGTAATTTTGCTCTTTTTCTCCGGGTTTCCACTGACAGCGTCAAGCGCGGAGTGAATTGCAGCAGCGGCCACCCCTCGCTTCAAGTCCTGCTGTTCCGCCTTGGTCTCGTACATGCCACGGACTTCATCGCGGACTGCCGTGGGCGCGTCCTTGCATAACGCCACATCGCGCTTCTCCTGCCCATTCCATGTCGCGAGATGGATTGCACAGCGGTTTGTTCCGCCCTCGAACTTCTTGCCACTAAACTTGCACAGCTTGGGGTTGCCTTTGGTGTGAAACGGAATGAGGAAATGTTTCAGAATGGGGTGAGATAGTCCAGCCTCAACAGGATCCGTGTTGACGGTAGTAGAGTCATGGACAGCGGCTGGATTGTTGTTCGTCGAAGTACTAGGAGCTGAGCCCGACGCCATGGCGCACTACGTAAGTCTAACTAACGAAGAAGAGTGGAGAAATGCGGGAAGGAAATGGAAGAGCATTTGCGCAACGTCGACCTATACGTGCAAACGATGGAAGAACATTTGAAGGGGGTGGTTGGGACTGAGAGGTTGGGTGGGGTGATGTGTGGTTGAGGGGGTGGAAAAGTTTGGATTTTGAAATTCGAAGTTCAGAAGTGGAGTTGGGCACATGAGCGAAGTCGCGGTAACACTTCGCGACTTCGCACATCGTCGCGAAGTTTTTCAATTTCGGATTTTTTTATTCGCCGGGCTGCCCGGCCGTATTTTCGCGAATTCAGAGCGTATCAGCGTATCACGCATATACGCTAGCGAATATACGTGATACGTCAGCCTTTCAAGAGCGTATCTGCCAACATAGACGCACATCTCCCCCTCCCAATCCCCCCAGCGCACCTCGAGGTCTCGAAAGCAGCCATGGCGGTCGAAGTGCAGGGAGCGGTTGAAGACAAGCCCATTGACATTGATGAACATGCCGCGCAGCTCAAACAGCTGAAACACCATCGCATCATGCCAGTGGTGGTCCGTCTTGTGCGTGCATCTCGGATCCGCCCCAAGCTCCCCCGACTCGTTCGCGTGCGACAATTTCGGGCAGTTTTCCGGCTGGTCCGGGCGGTAGTAAATTTCGTCGGCGAATTCCGGGCGGAAGCAGGCGCGCACGGTCGGGAAGGAGTCCCCGCAGGAGCCGAAGTTCGGGCAGGGTTCGCCCATGCAGCGAAGTTTCACTTGCCCAGGGTAGATTGTTTTGTGGTAGTTGAGAAACGAGTCATTCAGGTCGGTGCGCTTTATGCTCTTATCGAGTGGTACTGTAGCGAGTATGCCTTCTCGAGCGGATGTTACAGAGGCCACACTGCAGGGACCAGCGGAAAGGACAGAGGGGAAGGGGGAGAGGGGAGGAGCAGAGGGGTAGGGAGAGAGGAGAAGAAGGAGAGGGACGCACAGGCGAGCACCATTTTAGCAGAGCAGAATATAATTTACTATGGCCGTGACTCACTTCAGTAGGGCATAGTATATTATTTAATACCGCCTTGACTCACTTCAGATGTTACTCAAATCACCACTTTACCATTGCACTCTCCTCCTTCCGCTGCACCCTCCCCCCTCCATCGTATCGCAACCCACCCACTCCCACAGCTCTCGCCTCACTCTCACCTGCTGCCCGCTGCCATGCGCTTGGCAATGATCGCCTCTGCCTGTTCCACCTGCTGCAGCAATGCCTGCGCCATGATCATGGCTCTGGGAGGAGAGCGGCAAGGGAAGAATGAAGGAGCATAGGAGACCTCGTACCCCTCAACACACTGCTCCACTCCACCCTCAAGGGCAATGAGCGCCTCTGCCTGCTCCACGTGCTGCAGTCATGCGTGCGCCAGGAGCATGGCGCTAAGGGAAGGAAGGGATCAATCAAACGAGAAGAAGAGGTCGAATGAGCTGAGTGTGTATGTCTACTGCAGAGGCCAATTAGCGTTCAGTTGACTCGTTGCTTTGCCCAGCCTCCATAAACGAGAAAACGAGCTGAGTGGACTTAGAAGGCCCTTGCTGATAGCTTCAAAGCGTGGGGGGGGAGGAGGAGGAGGTGGAGGAGGAGGAGGAGGAGGAGGAGGAGGAGGAGGAGGAGGAGGAGGAGGAGGAGGAGGAGGAGGAGGAGGAGGAGGAGGAGGAGGAGTATTGACATGTCTCCGAATCGTAAAAACAGGTTGACGCGAGGGAAGGGAAGGTGAGAGAAGGGACTCACTGGGTCGACAGGGTGGTGTTAGGCTGGGCTGCCATAGCCTCTACCAACCATCCCCACACTCCTCTCCACCTCGTCCCGTCCACCAAATGGCTCTTTATTCCTCTCAAGCGCAGCGCCGTCTCAAAATTCGACTCGAAAACCGTTCCTGCTTTTGAGGCGCCTCAAAAGTAAGCCTCTCCACCTCGTCCCGTCCACCTTCTGGCTCTTTATTCCTCTCGATCGCCGTCTCAAAAGTCGGCTTAAAAGCCGTTTCTGAAACGCAGACTCACCGCTCTGACAGGGTGGCGTTGGGCTGGGCAGCCATGGCCTCCACCAGCCCCACGCCCCTCTCCACCTCGTCCAGTAGATCCGCCTCCTCTCCCTCTGCTATGGCCACCCTGGGATGATTGGGACGAGGGGACGGGAGAAAGGTTGGATCCATCTCCATACTGCTTCCATCTCCATACTGCTTCCATCTCCATACTGCTTCCATCTCCTCTCTACCTCGTCCACTAGATCCGCCTTCGCTCCCTGTGCTATCAACAACCTGGGATCACTGGGACCCACAATATCACCTACACGAATTCACCCTCCTCTCATCCCCCTTTCATTCTCCCCCTCCCCCCTTAACCTCACTCACTCACCCCTTCGCCATCTGCTCGCTAAGAGCATTCTCCATCTCCATTAATGCGTCCAGCAGAACCGTGTCTTCTGCGTCCGCACCCACCTCAGCGACCTCCACCCCCATACCCTCTGCCCTCCCTTCCCCCATTCCTTCACCTTCCCCTCCCCCTCCCCTCTCCCTCTCGCTCACCCCTTCGCCATCGGCTCACTAAGAGCATTCCTCATCTCCGTTGGTCCGTTCGTCCATCAGCACCGCTTCTTCCGCGTCGGGCCCTTCTCCCATCCTTCCCTTCCGCTACCCCTTCCCTCTCGCCCTTACTCACCCCTTCGCCATCTGCTCGCTAAGGGCATTCTCCATCTCCATTAATGCGTCCAGCAGAACCGCGTCTTCCGCGTCCGGCCCCTTCGGCACCACCTCCCCCACCCCCTTCAATCAACGCTCCCTTCCCTTCCCTTACATTTCACCTCTCCCCCACACTCACCCTTTCTCCATCTGCTCGCTAAGAGTGGTTCCCATCTCTGTTAGTCGGTCCAGCAGCGCCGCGTCTTCCGCGTCCGGCCCCTTGGGCACCACCTCCGCGCCCTCAATCATCTCCGGCACTATGATTGGCTCATCGTCCGCTCCTGCAGCCGCTGCCACGTCAGCACCAGGAGAATAGAGCCGCGTCAGCCAGCCAGGCCAGGTCAGCGGAGGAATTTGAGCAAGGGCTGTACAGCCAAGACGGACTTTACAGCACATGCTCACAGCACATGCTCACAGCACATATTACAGGACACGAATCTTGAAGGTGTGTTTTGAGTGGACTCTCAGAACACACACGGTTACCGCTGCAGCACTGGTAGGGACTCCGTTGAGTCGCCATTTTACGACTTAATATGAACCCAGCTGGGTCAGGCCTTTTGAGGCGCCTCAAAAGTTGTCTCCCTTGAGTCTTTTGAGGCGCCTCAAAAGTTGTCTCCCTTGAGTCTTTTGAGGCGCCTCAAAAGTTGTCTCCCTTGAGTCTTTTGAGGCGCCTCAAAAGTTGTCTCCCTTGAGTCTCCACTTCACGACTTCATGTGAACCACGCTGGGTAAGGCAAATGCCAGCGGCGCAGCGCGCACGCCCTACAAACGTCTGACAGAAACACTTATGAGCCGTTGCAGCGGTACGATCTCCTAGACACGCTGCAGTGCCTTTTTAGTCGATTTATAAAGAGTTACTAATGAGTCGTTACAGCGCTACGATCTCCTAACGCGCTGCAGTGCTAGCAAGGACTCCCGAGCGTCTCCCATTTACAATATGACAGTAAGTGTCTGATTACAGTATGAACCAAGCTGGTACTCGGCCAATGCCAGTTCGCATTTCGAATCAGTTCAAAGGACGTCTTTCGAGGCTTCTAATAAGGAGGATCAAGCTGGCAATCAACGAGTGCCGGCCTTACGAACACGCAACGGTCAGTGATTGCTCTTACGCGCCAGACGAACGGCGACGATGAAGCAGAGAAGAGCGAGCGGGACCGCGGAGAAGCGCGCCGATCCCATCGCGGAAGGAGTTCCCGCACTACGTTATCAGGCTCATAAGACGGCTCAAACGCCGGTCAGCAGCTAACGGCTGACGGTCAGCAGCAGGCTATGCTCTTAAGGCGCCTAGAATGACGGTCAGAAGCAGGGTATGCACGCGTTGTCACTAGAAGCTTAAAGCTCGCGTCTCATATTTCTGCTATCCAACCAAGTGTTAAACGGTTGGAATTTGGTAACAGCAAAGTTTGTCGCAAAGAACACAAAAGCAAGGGGTGGTTTGGGAAAGTTGGCTGTCGCACACTTCCCGTGCACACCAAGCGTTTACAACTTCCGAAAATATGAGACTCTGAAACTCAACGTTGAGAGAAGGGAGGACCGAACCTGTCCCCCTTGGCTCATTTTCCACCCAAACCAACCCACCCTGGTTTGTTTTGGCCTCGACTGTTTTGGTAGTTCGCTGTGATTTTTTCGCCCGCTCGTCAAATATTTCGTTTTCGTTGCCCAATCACAGTCAAGCAAACCCAACCAAGCTTTAAACGGTTGGAAATATGAGAAGCGAGCTTTAAGGGCCTGGGTATTGCGAATGCGGAAGTGGTGCACGCATGTCCCGCGACCGTTGAAAGTGCAAATATCGCAGGTTCGTCTGCCTATATCGATCCCCACAATCGAGTGGGCAGATCGTTTGGCGAAACGTGGCGACCGCGACGTTGTAACGATCGCAGCTGAAAATTGACAGATTTCCCGCGAACAGTGATCAGTCGCATTCTCACGCTGCACAGAAATTTTGGCCAGAAAACGCACTGTAGCATTGTTACAACGTAGCTAATAGGGTAACCGATCCGCACATTGATCGCTACAGACCATCGTTCGTCTACTTATGACCGCGTCCTAATCCTAATGATCGTAAAACCACAACTGCGGCGGTACCCGCTACTGGAGTTCTGATTATACTTGAAGTTGTGCACAGCAAATTGAGTTACAATAACTTTCGAAGCATAACAATTTGTGCTTTCTGAACAAGAAAAACGGCTTATTTCATCCTAAAAATACAGACGATATGTCTACAGTTACTGTGTCATGTTTATTCAAATATAAGCTCATCCACGATGATGGCACCTCGAGAATGCATGAAATATAGACCCAAGTGATGGGTGGCATCCTGTGGCCAACGAAAGTAAAGCAATTCAAGGAAAGAGACAAGGGCGTGCCGGGCTTGTGAAAGCAATATATTACTACGCTGAAACACAATCGATTTGTGTCAGACATGCACAGAAAAGGGGCTATGATAATATTTGAAAGAATGAAAGAGGTCATGATAATATTCTGTAACAATGGGCCATTGGCACTGTAGCATCGACACTGTACCTGAGGATGCGATGCAGTGGCGCCCCTCCCAAGGCTCTCAGCAACGGGCCGGGGCAGGTTGTATGTGGAGCAGGCAGGAGCAACTACCACAATTTCCTTTAGCTGCTGCCCAAACAACCCGTGGTTTCGGGCAGACAGTGCGGTCAGCACGAAATCCATGACGCAAATGTCTGTGCAGATGCCAACCACGATAATCTGCAACGCAGGTAGATGGGTGAGGAGGAGCCGCAAGTATGCATGAGAACATACTGAGATTAGGGGCTCAAGTGGAGGAGGGAGTGGAGAGGCTTGGGGAAACAGGATAGAAAGAAATTAGGGTAAATGCAGCAGAGGGGAGTGTGGAGGGAGGAGTGGAGAGGAGGAGGGCGAGTGCAATAATGTGGGGGAGAAAAGAAGTGTACATGTTCTAGTTGGTGCTTGATCGCCCATTGCGTCACAATGTTTGTCCCATCCGGTTGCATGCCGCCCACAAACCCGTTAATACAGTCCTTCTCCATTAGAGTCACACTGCCTCTGGTCACACGGGCATCAGCATCAGCTGCTGCTGCAGCGGCTTCTCCTCCCCTGCTCGCTTCCTTCTCAAGCCACGCCAGAGCTGCAAGGGACATACAGACAAGCAGGGCAAAGAAATTTTGAGGTGCATTGAGACAGGCTAAGAATGGAATCTGGTCCAGGAAAGGCAAAGGAATTTTGAGGTGCATTAAGACAGGCTAAGAATGGAATCTGGTCCAGGAAAGGCAAAGGAATTTTGAGGTGCATTAAGAGGCAAGGCTGCTAGCTGCATTGGGCATGGATGGGCAGAAAGCTTAAGAATAACATAAGTGCGGAGGGTTGATTGCAGGAAGAGAAGAGAAGAGGAACAGACAGCAAGTAGGATAATGGAAGCAAGAGACAGCATAGTCACACATCATACAGTCACTCACCCTCTACCAGCTTACATTCCCTGTGTCTCGCAGGTATGAAGGCTCTGGCTTTTCTGCTAAGGTACCCACTAACTCGCCATACAGTCACTCGCGCTGTCACAACTCACCCTCTACGATCTTCTCCTCCCCTGTGCCTCGCACACAATGGGGGGGGTACGGTGGCTCTGGCTTGTCTGAGCTCCCATGAGTCACCTCTTACAATCACACACCATACAGTCACTCACCCTCTTTACCAGCTTCTACTCCCCTGTCCCTCGCACGCAGTGGGGGGGGTACGGTGGCTCGCTTGTTAAAGTTTTCATTAGTCACCTCCAATAGTCACACGCACATTGAGGTCACACACCATACAATCACTCACCCTCTACCAGCTTCTCATCCCCTGTCCCTCGCACGCAGTGGGGGGGGTACGGTGGCTCTGGCTTGTTAGAGTTCTCACTAGTCACCTCCAATAGTCACACACCCTACATTCACTCACCCTCTACCATTTTCTCTTCCCCCGTGTCTCGCACACAGTGTCGGGGGGGGTACGGTTGCTCTGGCTTGTCTGAATACATTGGTCTCCCTTCATACGGTCACACATCATACAGTCACTCACCCTCTACCAACTTCTCCTCCCCCGTGCCTCGCACGCAGTGCGGGGGATACGGTGGCTCTGGCTTGTCTGCCTCGTGGGTGTCCAGGAAGGCCAGTACAGGCATGCCACGTGTCAGCATGTCATTGGCCAGCAAGGATGTTCGCGACACCATGGTCTCTATCTGCTCGTCTCTGACAGGAGGGGCCTTTGGAAAGAGATAGCGGGAAAGGAGGCGTGATTGTAAAGGGGATAGGAGGGGGAGAGGAGTGGGAGGGATGGGGAAAAGGAAGAGAAAGGGATTGGATGAGCGGGATAGAAGGGAGGCGGATGCGGCATTGAAAGAGAGAGGGACAGTGTGTAACAAGGCACCGGACACAAAATGGAAGATGAATAATCTTGAAGCACTAACTCCTACCCTACTCATTCAGCCCGTCCCTCCCCCCACTCACCAGGCTCCCCACGCCTGGAGTGCAGAAGCCGTGGGCCTGTACCAACCAAAATCATTCTGAATTTTCATCTACCTCTATTCACTAGATTCCCTGCGCGGCTGCCTCTCTTTCCGCCTCTCCCTCCCCGCTCACAAAATTCCCCGCGCCAGGAGTGCAGAAGCCGTTGACTTCATCCACTATCACCAATCCCACGCGCACATATTGAGTCGACTCAAGGTGGAAACCTGCGCCTCCCCTTCCCGCTCCGCCCACTCACCAGATTCAACTGAATCGACTCAAGGCGGGTTAACCCGCCTCTCACTCCGCCCACTCACCAGATTCCCCGCGCCGGGAGTGCAAAAGCCGTTGACTTCATCCACGATCACCAATCCCACGCGCGAATCCCGCGCGATGCGGAACTTCCCGGATTCTACGGGGAGGTGCTGACGTAGCGCTGACATTAGCATGGCTTCGTCAGGAACAGCCATTCTGAGGCGCGATGGATGGCAGCAGCGAAGGAAGGTGGAACTTACAAGTTACGAGATTCCGCTACTACAGTACAAGTTCACACGAGAAAGACGGAAGGAGGGAGAGAGGTCCGTTATTAAAAAACAGAATCGCGATACGAGCGTAATGCAATCGTGTATTCCATTGTTGGCCTGGATTCATTGCCTTGCATCAGTAACAACACCTCGCAGACTGGGAACAAAGTTCATCCCCAGTGATTTTCTTGCAAGCCATTTAGCGAAACGATGAATAGTTCGCTTTACAATTTCTTATCTACGAAATTACCTCCAAACAGGCAACGGCAGGGTTACAGCGTAATCAGCGAACGTCTTCGACAAGTCGATCTTCAAGGGACCAAGTTTGATAGGGTCGGGGATGACCCTACAAAAGCACTCATGTGTTGGGTGGCTTGCTTCTTTGGCTCTTTCACGTAATCACGAGAGCATGCGCAATTGGTAGTTCCTCCGTTGTCCTGAAAACCCCTCAAGTTGCAACATTTGCTCTTTTTCTACGACATCCTCGCTTGACATTAGTCTGATTTTCTCGCCAGTGTCTCCTAGAACCTGCTCAACCCCTAAAATCGTCTCACACGCGATGCGTCCTGTCTCTCTTGCCGAAATGAGTCACCTGCTCGCGGTGTCACCAGGCGGTCGACTGCTCGGATTGGACGTAGGGACCGCGCTTGTTGGTGTCGCCGTCTCCGACGCCGCAAATCGAGTGGCATCGCCTCTGCCTGTCGCCAACAGGCGATGGCAGAGGAGGAAGGAGCAAGGTGACGCCAGCGTCAGCAGCAGCAATGGCGGGAGTGGGTTTGGGACTGATGACGGATCCGTAGGCGGCGGTGGCAACGGAGATGTGGGGGAAGCAAGAAACGGCGATGCAGCTGCTTTTGAGGAGAGTCAGAATCGTAATGCAGACAGCAGTGTGCAGAAAATATCTGCATTTTCTAGCCCGAGCCACAAAGCTTCCAGCCCTTCGAGCAGCAACAGCAGCACCAGCAGCAACTATAGTAGACCCGCCAACACTCATCTTTCTTCAATGGCTCAAACCCTCCGAAACCGGCCCGTTTCATTGAGAATGCTTGACTCCATTGCTCGCTCTCGCTCCGTTGTTGGCATGGTTGTGGGGTTTCCCTTAGAGCTGTTCGGAGGGCGCTCCAACATGACGCCTGTGATTCAGGACTTTCTGTCTGGGGACATTGCCAGGCACTGCCCCTACCTCCATAGTGTTCCACACTTGCTGTGGGATGAGAGGCTTTCTACTGCATCGGCAACAGGGGTTCTTCAGGGGCTTGGTTTGCACGCTGTGTTGGAGAAGCAGCTAACAGACAAGATATCTGCAGTGTATATTCTGCAAGGCTGTTTGGACGCTATGGCTCACCAGCAGAGAGCAGAGCACACTGCAAAGTGAACTCAACCCAAGTGCACTCAACCCAAGTTGTATCTGGAATGTATGCTTGACATTTGAGACTACATAGATGTTCATAAAGATGTTGATGGCTGAGGGTCAAACCAGCTTGAACCTCGTGCCTTCTTGAATCCTAACCGTGCCTGACAACCTAGTACTCCTCCTCGCTGAAGTCCTGGAAATCGTCCTCGCTCTCCTCACTCTCATCGCTGTCATCACTGAGCACCACAGCCGGCTTCTTTTGAGCCCCACGGGAGAGATGGGTGCGACCTTCTGCTGCTGCAGCTGCTGGCATACCGCTCTTCTTGCTAAAAGGCGATGGGCGCATTCGTTGCACCTTGCTCACAGGCTCCTTCACAGGAGACTTAATGTCCACCTCATCAAGGAATTCAAACTCATCACCAAGAGCTGGTTTCTCCACCTGCAAAATTCAGAACGATGAAACATCAGTCACGGCCAATCACACAGAGCAGTCTTGGAAGACACTAGCAAACGAAACAGACACCAACCTTCTCCTCCATTTTCTTGGTGGCAGGTCGCTTTGTGGCGGCCTTCTTGGCAGGTTCTCTCTTGGAAGCTGCGGGCTTCACTTCTGCTGTGGAAGCTGAAAGGAGAACCAAAACGAGCGTCAGCATTCAGGAAATGCATCTGGCCCGTGAATGGACTAGATGGTGCATTTTTACTAACCTCCCCCTGAAGGTTTTTCTTGCAGCGACATCTTCGCTGCCATGGCTGCAAGCCTCTCCCTGAGGCTTCCTCCGAAGTCCTCATCACTGTCGTAATCCTGAAGACATGGAGATCAAGGCAAAAGTTAGCTTGGCCCCCACAGCAGACGCCCTGAAATCTTGAGTTAAGGCGGCGAGTGATATGCAGTGAAGGGTGTGATATGGGGATGCATATGAAACCACAGCTTCATGTGACATAGCGGTGCGTGAGATACAGGGCGGCACAGAATGTAGGGCTGAATGTGATACAGGGATGTGTATCACACACGTCCAATGGAACACATGGTTGCATGTAAAACATGGCTGCACGTGATACAGAGACGAACAGAATAGAGAAAAAACGTACAGATCCAGCAGGTTCTTTTGGCTTGGGAGCAGGTTTCGCCTTGGGAGCAGGTTTGACCACCTCCGGTTTTGGTGCCTGAAAAAAGAGGAGTATCGCAGAAGATGTCAGCAGACCTCACAATTGATGGTACAGGTATGCGTCAATTTCTGCAGGTACGCATCAACTTCTGGAAACATTTGGACGGATGCAGCCCCCACTCACACAGGCCCTTGATCAACACACCTGAACAAGAGGTACGGATGCCTGTGGTTTTGTTGTAGCAGCCACTGCTGTCGGCTTTGCTGCAGTAGCGGCAGCGCCCTTTCCTCGCCTCACCTTGGCATCTGCAGGACAGAAATGTGAGGACGTCAGAATATGGATGGTTAAAGTAATGCAAGTGATCAAGCCTGGCCGAGCTTGTTATCCATACCTTCCATGAAGTCATCATCTGAGTCTGAGATGAAATCCATCTCCTCATCACTGAAGATTTGAGCCTTCTTCTGTGCCCTTTTGGGTTTGGCAGCCACTGCCTTGGTAACACGACCCTTCCCCTTGCCAGGCTTGCCTGCCACCTCCTTGGCCTTCTCCTGAGCCGCCTCTTCCTCCGCAACCTGATATATGCAACATACACTGCTTTAGATTGGGAGAAGAGACGGCCAAGCACTGGTTCATGAAAGTAACAGAACGAGTTTCAATGCGCTGGATGGTAACAACGTACCTCAAGCTCCTCAAGGAACATGTCCAGGTCTCTCTCCCAGAGGTCCTTGGGCTCCGTCTTCAACAGAGCATCGTGGTCGTCTTGGTTCTTCTTCTGATCCCTCAGAAGCTCTTGAACCCTCTCCAGGGTCAAACTCCACAGTGGCATGCCAAGAAGATAGTCATAGCCACCATCGCCCCCCTTCTTAGCCTTCGAGCCCCCTTCCTCTTCACCCGACTCCTCCTCATCTTCACCCTCCTCATCTGCTGCTGTGGATGAACCACCACTCGAGATGACCTTGCCCTTTGGCAAGGGTGCAAACTTCTTCTCCTGCAAGAGAAAATCAGAATAAGTTCGTCAACTCCGCTATAAATAACCACAAATAGCAGGATAACCATGGAGCAGGAAAGCCTTACCTTGAGTTCAGCCAGAAGCTCCGCCTTCTTCCTGTTGCTGACGATGATCTCTCCACGCACAACTGCAAGGATGAACCTCACTCTGTTGTCCAGCTTGATGAGTTCATTTCGAAGTTGCTCCAGTTGAATATCCTGTAAATCGAGTGTCAACAAGACAACGTCAGGCCAATAAACTCACGAGCATGTCTAAAGAATGTGCAAAACAGGGCCACATTTCAAGTCGAACGTCCATTACCTTTCTCTTCCTGTAGTACTCCAGCCGAATGTGATAAAACTCCTCAATGACTGCAGGAGTACAGATCGAATGAGCAACATTAGACCCTCTGTGTCATTAGGAGAGCAACGACCCCCCATGGCCGGAAAATAGCTGATGTTGTTGTGTTTCTTACTTTCTTCCGGAGTTTCGTACTTCCTCATCCTCCCATCCTTGTCAAAGAGATGCATGTTGCTGGTTGCTACTGATGCCGTCAGCTTGAAGCGCTTGATCAGACCTTCAGCCTCCGCAGTCGCCATTCCCTCTGGCGACAAGTGCACCTCAAAATGCACAGTGGTGTCAGTGTGATGCTCCCGCATGTCCTGCAGTTCAAAACAAAAGCATGTTAGCGTTATCCAGTGATTTAAGCATTTGCAAAAAAACACTCCCGCCAGCAGTGTTATGTACCTTGATGAATGGCTCCTTGTTCTTGTCGTTTACCACCATCATCCCCTCCAGGAACTCCTTGTAGTTCTGCGTCCAGGTTCGGATGGGCAGCTCCGTGATCTCCAGAACGGTGTCGCTGACCTTGTTGATGGTTCCAGTCACGATGTAGTTCCGACCGTCCTTGTTGCTGTTGTGTTCCACAGTTCCCTGGAGGAAGAAAACGAAGATAACAAAAACTTGTTAGTCACAGAAATGTGACGAAACAATTGAACAGATACCCAACAAGGTGTTGATCAGGCTAAGCCTACCTTGAACCCACGGAACCAGGGGTGCAACGGCTCCATCTCCTCGCCCCTCATCAGCAGCTTGAGGTTGTCAACGATGTCGCGCGGGTTGAACGTTGGCACATAGGAGCTCCACCCAGTGCCAATCCCTTCACTTCCGTTGACAAGGACCAAGGGGAGGATCGGAAGGTACCTGCAAAAATCATGCAAGCTCATGATGAGGACTGGGCACTCAGGAAAATCACGTAAGACCTTCATGTGATGATTGGAATCATCACAAGCATACCATGTCGGCTCAATCTTCTGTCCGTCTTCGTTCAGGAAGTCCAGAAGGGCATCGTCCACCTCCGAGAAAAGAATCCGTGTGAGTTTGTGCAGCCTGGTGTAGATGTAACGAGGGCTGGCAGCATCTTTCCCTCCCTGCATTCAGCAACCAAAAAATAACAGGAGTCAGCTAGCAGTCGATGAAGCTGAACGGGAAGAAGAAATGCCACGCAATGTCTTCCTGACGTACCTGAAGGCGGGTGCCAAACTGGCCACTGGGTACCAGCAGGTTGATGTTGTTGCTACCCACGAAATCCTGGGCGAGACCAATGATGGTGGTCATCAAGCTCATTTCACCATGGTGGTATGCCGAGTGCTCGGAGATGTAACCAGCCAGTTGTGCCACCTGATGAGACAGAGCATACGCAAACGCACTCAGTTACTGACAGCTGAGCAGATTTTTTACTCCAAGAACAACTTGCCAGATAACGGTTTCCACACCTTCACGTCACTCTTCAGCTTCCTCTTGAAGCAACTGAAGAGGATCTTTCTCTGGCCAGGCTTGAGGCCATCCATGACAGATGGAATGGATCGCAGGTTGTCCGCAATGGAGAACAGGACCAGCTCCTTGTTGACAAAGTCGCTGTAGGTGATCGTCTTCGCACTTTGATCGAGGTACGTCCCAGGCTGAAAATAACAACCGATAGAAGAACTTAACACATGTGCTGTACCAAGACAAGAGACCAGAACATCAGAAACACATGGCACGCGTATGTACCTCCACATTACGCAGCCAGGTCTTCCTGTCTTCCACCTTCTTCTTGCTGAACGCCATTTCAATGCTTTCGCCATCCTCTTCTCCGCTCCACTCAAAGCTCTTCCGGTGCTGATCAAGGGCTGCAAAATACTCTTTAGCTTCCTTCGGAGTGCTTGTTCCCAGACCCTGTGAGGCCACAAACAGAGAATGTTAAGTTTGAAGTTTCAGAAACATCTAGTGCCGTAGGCACCAGCACAGGAACTTGCCTTATAGTACTTGATGGACCATCCTTTAGTACTTCCTCCAAGGGATTCTTTCCAAGACTCGTACTCGGGCATGGTGTAGAAGGAAAGAACCTTTCCACGGGGCCCAGTAGCCTGCACAGCACGCATAGTAAAGATTAGATTTGCTTCTATATTGAGCAAGAGAATCTCGGAGTTGTCTGCAAGAATCATCTGACCTTGACGATGGGCGTGATGAACTCCAGCAGGAAGTTGGGTTGCTTCAGAAGTGACGGCCAAAAGGCGTGGAGGAAGTTGATGAGGAGGCCCTTTATATGCGATCCATCGTGGTCCTGCATTGCGAGACTCCTCAAATGAGACTTTTACCGGCTGTTCTCCCCCCGAGATGTCTAAAATTGTCCGAGCTGCTTACCTGATCAGTCATGATCATCAGATGGCCGTATCGCAAGGATTTGGTGCTGTCGTAGTGCTTTCCCTGCTGAAGCCCCATGATTTGCTTGATGTTGGTGATCTCTGCGTTCTCTGTTAACTGCTTGGCAGGTGCATCCCTGACGTTCAGTAGCTTCCCACGCAGCGGGAATACTCCGTACTTGTCACGACCAACAACACTCAAGCCGCTCACCTGAGAAAACAGAGAAAAGGTTAGGTATCTTAGAATTGCGGTGCTCTATTGCAGCACAAGCATCAAGCGCATCACTCTCAGGCACTTACAGCAAGAGCCTTCGCAGAGTCTCCCTCCGTAAGAATCAGGGTGCAGTGCTCGGAGTTGCGTCCACCTGCATCGTTCGCATCGTCCAGCTTCGAAATTCCCGTGAGCCGCTGCTTCTTGCTTCCATCGCTCTTCTTCATGTCCTTGTTCGCCTTGAAGGTCGCGAACGAGAGGATACTGTCGATCACACCCGATTTTGCGACTGCAAAAAACGAAATACACTGCAGGTCAGTAGCTGTCCAGCTTGCGACTTGAGAACTAAAACAAGAACGAACTAGAATTACCTTTCTGAAGAAAAGTGTCCGGTAGCTTGCACGTGGAGCCAAACTCGCTCGCCCGGGTGTTCAACGTCTCCTTGGTCTGCGAATCGAATGCCGGGTTGACGATCATCGAGTTCACAAAGACCCACAAGTGGCACTTCACTTGATGGGCCTTAATAGCCGGTGCACCCTTCCCTGCCTTCTTCTGGGCCTTCTCTATGAGGAACTTGGTCAGTTGGTCAGCGACAAGATTGACATGGGTGCCACCCTTGATTGTCGCAATGCTGTTGACGAAGCTGACCTGCTGAAACTGGCCGTCACTCAGTGAAACACAAACCTCCCAGTTGTCGTTGACCTTCTCGTAAATCCTGCCAAAAAAATCAGAACGATTCAGCTCACATTGACGAGTTCGAAACTAATGAAAGCTAACCAGGCACTAACGCTAATTTCACTCACTTCGGCAGTGGGCCAGGGACTTCACCGCTTGACCTGGGTGAGTCGAGGTAAAGTCCGACGTAATCTTGGAAGTTCTTCAGGGAAATCTTGCTTCCATTCAGCTCGACCTTGACAGTTTTCCCGAGCACTCCAGCCATGTCAACCACACGCTTGCTCATGAGGGCCACATGATCAGCATCAAGATGAGTCAGCTTGAACTTTGCCAGGTCTGGGTGGAACGTCACGCACGTCCAGCTTTCTCCGGACCTCGTTTTCGTAATCTCGGGCTCCGACTTCTTGCTCATGTTGTCATTGAAAACCTGTTGACAATGCCAGGAAAATCCCGTGAGAACCAGGAAGAAAGCATCGGACGAGACATCTGAATAACGAATAACATGTCAATAAAGTACTGAATAACGACCTTGCATTGTTGTGGTGAACGTCCTACCTGACGATATTGCTTCTTGCGTTCGCCGTCGGCAGTCTCGATGACGAATTCCGTGGAGAATATGTTAGCGAGCTTCGCACCATAACCGTTCCGACCACCCGTCGTCTTCTTCTCTGTATCGTCGTAGTTGCTGCTGGTGAGGAGATGGCCAAAGATCATCTCCGGGACGTAGCAGTTCTCGTCTGCGTGAATCTCGATCGGAACACCCTTGCCGTTGTTCCACACCTGAAGCCAGAAAAGGTTTATCCGTGAGAACGACTTCGTCGCACATATGGACCCAGTCTTTGCTATTCTAGCACGCAGCTTACCTTAATCATGTTCTTTTCTGGATCAATGTGCACTTTGAGCAAGTCCATGGAGGGATCTCTCTGTTTGTTGTCGGCGGCGTTGACGAGGATTTCGTCGAAGATTTTGTACAGGCCAGGGACGATGGTCGTCTCGCGATGTACCATTCTGCCATTTTCGTAGACCCATAAGGTCTGCGTGTGGCTCTGAACTGATCCGACGTAAGTGTCTGGCCTTAGGAGGACGTGTTCTAGCGGAGTTTTCTTCTGGTATGTCTGCTCAATTGTCCTTCCCTTGCTGATGTTTGCTGCCGTGCTGAGCTGAAGAGGTTCCTTGGCCTTCTTCGCCGCAGCTTTCGGTGCAGCCTTCTTCTTCGTCTGCGACGCAATCCATGAATCACCGTCAAGAGAACCGCCTGGTAGTATAATGAAGTGCGAAGATGGCTTGCGTACTTACGAGTGGAATGAAGTTCTCATCATCGCTCATATATTCGTCGATATCCATGTCTATGAGTGCTCTCTGGCTCCTAAGCTTGTTCCCACAGGTAGGATAAAGAGAAGGAACCTGAGTGACTGTTGACTAGCACAATCGGTACCTAGAGAAAAGCTCAGGCGGGACTCGAAATGAAGAGAACGAATTGAACGCATTCACAACTCTTCTGTGCGATTATTCCAATGCAACGCCAGCCCGAATGAATGTCATTCTATGATGCTATGCCACACCATAGCAGGCATGGGGGAAGGGGTGACAGCCAGCCCGAGCCGCCTCGAGCCTGTCACCAGGATTCCGCGCCAAATTTCAAAATCCGTGGGCTCTGCAGACTGCAATACTTAAAACAGTCAGAGGCTTCTGCATTCCGTCAGAAAGGTCATCGCCTGGCATGGATGGCCATCTTGTACACTTCGGACTCATTTTTGAACATTTGTTAACCTCATGCCCATAGGCAATCTTAACGTACACACAATCATGCTCTCATTACCTTAAATAAATGCTTATTCTAAGTTATAAATACATCATAGTGGATGAATATCATAATATTTGTTTTTCGAGGGACGCTGATTATTTTTGTGTGTTTGTGACAAATTTGATTGCGTTATTCATGTATTAAAATAAATGTGACAAGACTAGCATCCACAGCGAGTTATGGGTGACATTATATAGGGATTTATGACACTGGTGATCAACGCGGGCTGGCGTGGATGGTTGTGACTCACATCCAGCAGCACCAAGCCAGCACCTACTAGCAGCACGTTTCCCAGCTCGTTCCTAACATCAACGTTTGTTCCTGATAAACTGAACGACTGATCAATTAGGTCCTTGGAAATCACCTGTCCCAAGCCACTTCGCTTCGCAAGCCTAATCTATGAGTCAAAGTTAGAGAGCCGATCGCACCTCATGGGTGTCTGCACGGCTTCCGTGGCATGGTATTGCATTTCGCTGTCTCTTGTCACAGGTACATTTATCATGAATATAAGTTTTAATTATATCGCTTCCAATAAGAATGAATAATATCGTGTTCTAGTCGACTGAAAACCATTCAGCTTCATCCCATTCAGCTGTTGAGTGCGTGGTCAGCTTAGCGTCCAAATGTTTGTTATATTTTTCGCGCAACGTTTTGAGTAAGTCGTTCGGCGGGCTTAGCGTCCAAATGCGTATCGTTATGTAGACGCGCTACGTCCTTCAACGGATTTAGGATTGAGTCAAAGTGTCCTTCCTTGTCCCTCCCCCTATCCCCTCCCTATGCCATCCGTCATCCCTCACAGCAGCACTAGTAGCAGCCCAGTCGTCCGATGAGTTGCTGCTGGGCCGCGTGGCGGAGATGGAGGAGCAGCTCAACCAGCAGCTGCTGGACGGGCCTGCTGACGGCACCTCCCAGCCCGCCGGAGCTGCCACAACCAAGGCTGCTGCCACTGGCGGATCTGGCGACGGCGCTGCAGTGTCAGTCTTTCCTCCCTTTGCATGTTTGTGAATTGGTTTGAAGAAATGTTGGAGGGGCCTCCTGAGGGCACCGCCCAGCTGGCTGGAGCAACAAACAAGGCTGCTGCCACTGCCGGCTCTGGGAACGGCGCTGGAATGTTAGTCTTCTGTTCCCTTTGCATGTGTGCTTGTGGTTTCCGCCTTCCATGCGGGGTCGTCGTTCCCATGTTCACAGAAGGTCTGCTGAAAACCACCTCGCTTCTTGAGAATATTCATCTGCAAGCTAAATAGCAACTCTTCAATATCCGCGACTTGTCCCTGCATCCCTCTCCCTTCCCCCCCATGCACCACGCCAGTGAATCCTTGCCACCACGTCCCACTTTCACAGAAGGCCTGCTGAAAACCACCACTCTCCCCCGCGGCATCTACCGCAACAAGCTGAATAGCACCTTCCTGGAATACCACCGAAACGTGCACAAGGGGGAGGTAGAACTGCACTGCATGGGCGGCACCTGCCCGAACCTAGACAGCTGCGGCTCGGCATTCCCGAACGTGCGAGCCTGCTTCTGGCCGAACCTCGTGGACGAGGATTATATTTACCCTGACCAGCCTGAGAACTGCCCGAAGCTGTCGAATTGGGATGAGGTTGGGGCGAAGGGGGCGGATCCTAGGTGTACCCACCCTGGGGATAATCTGAGATTTGATAAGTATGTGCCGCAGTATTATGAGATCAAGGACGTGTTTGTGGATGCTAACGGGGTGCTCTTTAACGAGTCGCTGCACTTCTTCCGCCACGGCTGCTTCAAGGACAAAGAGGTGAGGGGAGGTGAGGTGAGGTGAGGTGAGGTGAGGTGAGGTGAGGTGAGGTGAGGTGAGGTGAGCCAAGGTCACAAATCAGTTTCCTTGTTTACATTCTTAAGGCATTTCCTGTTCTCCATAGTCACAAAGCAGTTCCCGTTCTTGACACCTTTTTTATCGCTCGTCGCCCTCCCTACCCGTCCATGCTACACACTCTCCCACTCTTGCTCACACCCTCTCCGCCTGCAGTTCGCCTACCACGCCAACCAGACAAGCTTGCAGCACTACCATCAACTTGTGTCTCTCTGATGCATCAAGTTCACGTCAACTTTATTGTTTCCCTACCCCCCACTCCCTGCAGTTCGCCTACCACGCCAACCAGACCAGCGTGCAGCACTACCACCGCCTCATATCGCTGCTGTACCAGCTGGGCGGGGCTTTCTACCACACGCTCATCGAGGTGGTGCCGCATTTCCTGCTGCTCGCCCCTCTGCTGAAAGACAACCCCGGCATGCCCATCGCTGTCAGCCGCAAACAGGCAAGCATTTGTTCTTTGTATCGGCTGTTTGAGTTGTGTGTGGGCGGGAACGGAAGGTGGCTGAAGAGTGGGCGTTCTACCACACGCTCATCTGGGTGGTGCCTCACTTCCTGCTGCTCGCCCCTCTTCTGAGAGACAACCCCGACATGCCCATCGCTGTCAGCCGCAAACAGGCAAGTGCCTTTGATTTACCAGCTTGGTGGGGAAGAGGGGGGAGTGGGAGGCTGCGTTTCTTTTTCGCAGCTCTCTGCAGCTATTTAGGGCTGTTTGAGCCCAGTCTCTACCATGCTCGAGTCTTGCCTCTCCTGCTGCTCACGAATAAGAGCCCTTTCTTTGCTCCTTCTCTAGTCGCTCTTTCCACACTCACAAGTCACCTTGAACCATGCTGCACTCCTCTTCTTCCCGCCAGCACAGCTGAAGATGTACGACTCTGTGCTGTACCCCATCGTGGGCATCACCTCGCGCGAGCTGAACCTCCTTCTCATGTCTCTCTCTTACCACGCTCACAAGTCACCTTGAACCATGCTGCACTCCTCTGCTCCCTGCCAGCACAGCTGAAGATGTACGGCTCTGTGCTGTACCCCATTGTGGGCATCACCTCGCGCGAGCTGAACCTAACTGAAATCATCACCTGAATCTGAACATTATAATCAGAGCAAACATGTATTTTCTCCTCCTCCCCGCCAGCACAGCTGAAGATGTACGACTCGGTGCTGTACCCCATCGTGGGTAATGGCTATCAGCTTCATGGACCTGACTTGTTGAGATGGCTCAGACTCACCACGAACCAACCGTACTGCACTTCTCTCCTCTCTCCTCCCCCCCGCCAGCACAGCTGAAGATGTATGACTCTGTGCTGCACCCCATCGTGGGCATCACCTCGCGTGTGCTGAACCTCGTTCTCGTGGACGATCGGAACCAGAAGATGCTGCTGCATGCTGACATGGCGTACCAGGTACGTGCTGATGTGGTATGTGGCATGTGCTGACGTGGCGTACCAGTATACGCTGATGTGGCGTACCAGGTACGTGCTGACGTGGCATACCAGGTACACGCTTATGTTGTAGGGCGTGTTGCACTCCCATTACCTCACTCCTCTCTTTGTGTCAACATGCATATCCGACAGGCATAACTGAATGGAAACAAAAGCATTGCAATTTGCCCCAGACCCTGCACGCCTGGTGCATGCCTCATCGATGGAAACAAAAGCATTGCATCGATATGATGAGTTGCTTTATTTAACCTCCCAGGCATGTAGCATGAGCTAAGAGGCAGCACAAACCATCCTTTTAATCCCCCGTCCCACCTCCCTCAAACCTCATTGGAGCCTGTGTTCGAGGCATGCAGCAGGGAAGCAACAGGCGTGTGGCAGGAGCTGAGGCGGCGGCGCTACCTCGTGCCACCAACTCCCTCGTCCTATCCTTCCTCCCCCCCACACCACCACTGCACCCTGTGTTCCAAGCATGTGGCAGGGCAGCGCCAGCCGTGTGGCGGGAGCTGAGGCGCTACCTCGTGAATCCACCAACTCCCTCTGTATTTCCTTACCCCCCCCACCTCCCCCCCTCCCCCCATCCGCACTGCAGCCTGTGTTCCAAGCATGCGGCAGGGCAGCGCCAGCCGTGTGGCGGGAGCTGAGGCGGCGCTACCTCGTGCCATCCGACGGCCTCCCCATGTTCGGCCCGGGCTTTGCTCCCCGGCACCCTGGCAACAGCAGCAGCAGCAATGACAGCACTGGGAACAGCAGCACCACCGCCACCAACAACAGCAGCACCGCCACCAACACTAACAGCAGCAGCATCCCCCCTCCGTGGACGGACGAGCAGATGGCTCGGCTGCCCGCCAGCTGGCTCGCTGTGATTGCTCGGCGCCACAAGTCCAAGCGGCGCATTGCTGGCTTCCCGCAATTGGTGGATTCCATGAAGCAGATCTTCCACCCCTCTAGGGTCTACGTGTTCGATGGCAAGCTGAATGTCACCCAAGGTGTGTTGGGTTGGGTTGCTTGAGTGCCATCACAACTCACTGCGGTCCAGTCAATTGGTGGATTCCATGAAGCAGATCTTCCACCCCTCCAGGGTGTATGTGTTTGATGGCAAACTGAATGTCAGTCAAGGTGAGATGAGTTGGGACCGTGGTCTGCATGTTGTTGGTTTGACTGCCATCGCAATCAAGTCCAAGCGCCGCATCGCTGGCTTCCTGCAATTGGGACTCCATGAAGCAGACCTTCCACCCTTCTAGGGTCTATGCGTTTGATGGCGAGCTGAATGTAACCCAAGGTGAGTTGGGAGAGCATGTACAGTCTAGATGTTTGTTGTTTGCATGCCGCCAGAAGTCCAAGCGGCGCATCGCTGGCTTCCCACGATTGGTGGACTGGATGAAACAGATCTTCCACCCCTTGAGGTCTATGTAAGGGTGTAAAAACGAATACGGATTCGAATACGGTTATCTAAAACGAATAATTGTCGAACACCTGGCTGTATTTGTATTTGTTCGAATACCTGTCCCTCCACGAATTCGAATACGATTCGAATACATGGTGTGTCGAATACGGTTTCGAATAGCATATTGTAGCTCAAACAAGGATCTCATGATTCACGGTGGGGCTTAAATGCATACTGAAGTATCATTCACACCCTTTTACTCTAACTCATTGGCCCCTTGCTCAGTTAGCATGGCTCTGACGGCCGTTCTGTAGAGTCCTTTGTATTTTTTACTCAAGATTTCGTGAATAATAGCGGCTGGTTTGAGTGGTTCAGTAACTTAAGAACGAATCGAATATGTATTCGAATAACCGGTTATCTAAACCGAATACTTGAATACTTGAACGTCGAATACTTTCGAATAGTAAGGGGCATTTGTATTTTATTTGTATTTGATATTTGTCGAATATCGAATACTAATACGAATACAGTGGTATTTGTTTACACCCTTATAGACGGTCTATGTGTTGGCAAGCTGAATGTAACCCAAGGTGACGGGACCAAGGAGAGTGAATCAAATCCAACATCCTATTTTCCTGTTCCCCGTCCTCTTGTCCCTCCCATCCCAGCCAAAACCGTAATCAACAGGGCAGCGGTGTTTGTGGGGCTGCACGGGGCAGGCCTGGCCAACATGGTCTTCGTGCCGCTGAACGCCAGCATCTCGTGTCCCTGATCCTTTTTGTCATTCCACCTGATGTTTCCCCGTCCCGGCTCTCTTGCCCCTCCCAGCCAAAACCGTGTTCAACAGGGCAGCGGTGTTTGTGGGGCTGTACGGGGCAGGCCTGGCCAACATGGTCTTCATGCCGCTCAACGCCAGCATCTCGTGTCCCTGATCCTTTTTGTCATTCCACCTGATGTTTCCCCGTCCCGGCTCTCTTGCCCCTCCCAGCCAAAACCGTGTTCAACAGGGCAGCGGTGTTTGTGGGGCTGCACGGGGCAGGCCTGGCCAACATGGTCTTCATGCCCCTCAACGCCAGCATATTTGAAATCCGCCCGCGCGGCTACCCCAACCCCTGCTACCACCATCTTGCCACCGCCACCCAGATGCACTACCATTTGATCCTCGGGAACGGTACCAAGGACAGCGAGTTGAAGTTCAACCACACGGAGGCTGTGGAAGTGCTGAGACTGATTGCCAATCGCACGAGAGCAAGAATGTCGGCTGAAAAGTTCGAGTCGATTAATCTGTTGCCGCCGCTGGAAGCGGTGGGGGAGGAGGATTGGAAGGAGAGGGCTGGGCTGGATGGGGAGGAGGAGGAGGAAAATGGCGGAGGGGGGAATGCGGAGTTGACTATTCCGCTTGAGCTTATGGCGGATGTGACTCTAAAGGCGCTGAATGACACAGATGTAGGGGCGGAGGAGCAGGAGGAGGAGGTGAAGAGTCTGGATGAAGAGACTAAAAAGAAGATGGAGGGAGAGAGGGTGGTAACGATTGGGGAGTTGAGTGAAGATTTGAAACGGGCTGAGATGAAACAGGTGCATGTGAATTCAGGGGTGTCACATGATAAGCGCAAGGCGATTCTTAACTGTACGGGCGGCCCGTGCCCGGATTTTTCGGGCAGGTGCGAGTCGAATCGCGAAGCGTCGGCCTGCAGGATGAATGAAGTTTCAGATGAGGGGTTTGCCCGCCCGGCGATTCCTATAAACTGCCCGAAGAAAGGGAATTTGACGACTGTGGGCCCGGAGGGGAGGGATGAGAGCTGCTCGCATACGTCCGATTTCGGGTGGTACGAACCAGGCACATTCCAGATTTACCTTTTGCGGGGAGTGTATATCGACCACGAGGGGCATGTGTTCAACAAAACGACCCATTTCAACCGGGAGGGGTGCAACAATGATGCACCGGTGAGTGTTTGTGTGTGCGGTGAGTGTGCATGAGGTGACAATTTGTGTGTGTGTGTGTGTGTGTGTGTGTGTGTGTGTGTGTGTGTGTGTGTGTGTGTGTTTGTGTGTGTGTGTGTGTGTGTGTGAGCGAGAGTGTATGCAGTGACTGTGTGTGAGGCGAGTTTTGTGATGTACGTGAGTCAAATCAAAGCCCAGCATCTCATCCGCAATCAGATTCTAAAAAGGAAGCTTCCACGTTCAATGCAAGTTCATACTTGCCGTGTGGCTTCAAGACCACGGATGTGTGATTTTATCCGCTCCCCTCAATTCCATCTCAACCGCTAACCCCATCTCCCAATTGAAGTACGAAAAAGGAAGAAAGGTCCACAGGTTGAAGCGAGTTGTGAACCTGGCATTCTACCAGGGCCGCAACTTCTACCACGGGCTCACATCATCTCACCCCTACATTACCCCCATCCTGAACCACCGCATCTGCTTGCAGTTTGAGTACAAGGGCACAAAGGTTAACAAGCTCAAGAGGGTGGTGAACCTGGCGTACTATCAGGGCCGCAACTTCTACCACGGGCTCACCGATTGGACGGCCTCCCTTCATCCTCACCCCTATATCCCCGCAGTTCGAGTACAAGAAGGGCACAAAGGTGCATAGGTTGAAGCGAGTGGTGAACCTGGCATACTATCAGGGCCGCAACTTCTACCACGGGCTCATCGAATGGACGCCCCAGCTCTTCCTCCTCAGCTCTCTGCTGCACGCCCACCCCACCATCCCTCTGCTCGCCATCCACGACCAGGTACACCTGGTGTAGGCGGCATGTAGGCCTGCACGACCAGGTACACCTGGTGTAGGCGGCATGTAGGCCTGCATGACCAGGTACACCTGCTGTTCCCTGCTGTAGGTGGTTAAGGAGTGTCCTCTGTGCGTAACATCTTGCAACGAGGTTACATCTGGCGTGAGATTGTAAGGTCCGCATGGGCTCACCAGGTATGTCTGGTGTAGGCGTGTACAATGGGCTTGCATGGAGGTGCAGCAGGGATATCGTTTTCTCAATTACCCTGCATGCTATTTTCTCGCCTCTCGTCTTCCTTCCACTTCCATTCTCCTGCAATGGTAAATGTGCAAGTAGGTGCAATGGTAAATGTGCAAGTAGGTGCAATGGTAAATGTGCAAGTAGGTGCAATGGTAAATGTGCAAGTAGGTGCAATGGTAAATGTGCAAGTAGGTGCATGTGTCTTCTTCACCATCTGCTAAAGAGGACGTTCCTCCACTCTCTCTCCCCGTCTCACTCCCCCCTCGTTCCTTTTCCTGTCCACGCAGTGGGATTTCTACGAGAATATATCAAAGCCTATTATAGGAGTGGAGCAATTCGCTATGAACCGACTCAATATAAGCCGCGGGGAGCTCTTCTATGCCGATGAGGTGTACCTGGTAAGTCATACACATGACCTTGTCTATGTGCATGTGCACCTTCTTATACTGCCAAAGCGATGCATTTTGCCTTTCCAGGCTCAGGCAATTCACTATTTGGAGTGTAAGCATGCTGGTTATTCGAGCTAAGTGCTTCGCTTATCTAGTTTCAAGCATCTTGCTTATTGCTTTGTTCTCCTGTTTCCCTTTCCCCTCCTCTCCCAACACCCCAGCCTCTATACCAGGCATGTGGCAAGGCCAGCTCCTCTCTCTGGTCGCTCCTCCGCTCCCACTTCCTCCTTACCCCGCAATGCTTTCCTGTATCCTCTCCTCCTGTTTCTCTTTCCCCTCCTCTCCAACACCCCAGCCACTATACCAGGCATGTGGCAAGGCTAGCCCCTCTCTCTGGTCGCTCCTCCGCTCCCACTTCCTCCTTGCCCCGCAAGGCCTCCCCATCTTTCCGCCCACCACCTGGATCCAACGGCCAGGATTGGCCGATCCGGTGAACCAGACCGAGGCGGCAACAGTGCCGCCTGACTGGATGGTGCTGCTTGTGCGGCGGCCAGGTGTCAAGCGCTCATTGGACCGCTGGGACGCGCTGTATGAGTCGGCCGTATCGGTGTTCTCTCTCAACCGGGTCCATGTGCTAAATGGCTCCGTGCCTATGCTCAAAGGTACTCCACCCTTTCTTTCAGTTTATGGAATTAGGTTTGGATGTCTTTGTTTGTTTGTTTGTTTATTTTCTGTTTTGTGCCTTTTTGTTTCCTGCTCCTTTCCAACAATGATAACTTCCAACTGCTGGCTGTGTGGATGTGCCCCGAAGCTTTCTGCCAACTCCTTCCCATTCCCGCGTTCCCCCTTCCATGTTCCTGCACGATCCACGTTCTTGTTCCTGTTTCCACACCTCCAGCTCGGTCGCTGTTTCGAAGAGCGAGGCTGCTTATAGCGGGACACGGAGCAGCAATGGCAAACATGGTCTTCATGCGACCCAACATGACAGTCTACGAGATTCGACCCGACAAGAGCAACAACGCGTGTTACCACCACCTAGCACATGCATGTGGGCTCCGATATTACCTGACGTTTGGGGATGGGGATGGGGAGAGCGTAGTGAAGATTGATGTGGGGAAGGTTACAGGGGTGTTGAAGGAAATTGCCAAGACGTTTCCGCCTTTGCCAGGGGACGAGCATCCAGATGAGGTGTCGATCTTTGGGGATGGATAATGTAATGCAACACAGTGATGTACACACAAGATGCCTATTTTGTATATTGGCTGCCTTGGGATAGGTCATCTTTGGTCCCCTTGTACACTCAAGCACACTGAAGTGCATTGCATTGTATCTTAACAGAAAGGCGGATGCATACAGGGTGCATAAAATTAGGAGAATGATAAATATACATCATACAGGCTGGATGTACGGGCAGTCAAGTGACAAGATACATTCATAATCAGGATCAGCTAATGGCGACCGAAGAAAACTCATCCTACACTCCTTTCTCAACTTCTTCTCCAGACACCGCTTCCCATAAGATTCCTTCAACCGCTTACCAGCCTCCTCCCTCCCATTCTTCCTAACATCCAGCGCAAATTCCTGGGCGAATTTTAACAGCTTTTCAACACCGCTTATGTCTTGATCGGCCAGGTGTACCTTTCGCGAGTGCGTGCGATATTTCTTACACGCCGCATCTCGATCGCACTCCATAGGACTCATCCCCGCATAGAGCGAATCGTTAGCAGGCGCAGGCGGAGGCCCCGCGGTACACTGATACTGCATGTAATTTATCCCCGCGTTTATTGCGGTGTAGTAATACAGATCGTAGAACACTCCGAAGGGGGAGATCTCGAGAACGATCGCGTCTGAGCGAGCGAAACAGGTGGGGTTGGTGAGGCCTGCGCCGTGTAGGGCCACGATCACTTCAGATGAATCAGTGAGGGCTAGCTGTTGGGAGAAGGGGAGAACAGCATATTCTGTCATTGTCACCTGTGGGGGAGAATGGGCGAGGAAGGGGAATAGGATGAGCGGGAGAGGAGAGGGAGGGAAAGGAGGGTTGTTGGTGAGACATGTACCGTGCAGGGCCACGATGACTTAGGCAGAATTAGTGAGGGCTAGCTGTTGAGAGAAGGGGATAACAGCGTATTCTGTCATTGTCACCTGTGGGGGACGTGGGAGGGAGAGTGTCAGAGAGTGTGAAATAGGAGGGAGGGAAGGGAGGGTTTGTTGGTGAGACATGTACCGTGCAGGGCCACGATAACCTAGGCGGAATCAGTGAGGGCAAGCTGCTGAGAGAAAGGGAGAAGAGCATATTCTGTCTTTGTCACATGTGGGGGGGTGGGCGAGGGAGAGTGTCAGAGTGTGGGACGTGAAGGGAGGGTGTGTAGGGGACGTGAAGGGAGGGTGTGTAGGGGACGTGAAGGGAGGGTGTGTAGGGGACGTGAAGGGAGGGTGTGTAGGGGACGTGAAGGGAGGGTGTGTAGGGGACGTGAAGGGAGGGTGTGTAGGGGACGTGAAGGGAGGGTGTGTAGGGGACGTGAAGGGAGGGTGTGTAGGGGACGTGAAGGGAGGGTGTGTAGGGGACGTGAAGGGAGGGTGTGTAGGGGACGTGAAGGGAGGGTGTGTAGGGGACGTGAAGGGAGGGTGTGTAGGGGACGTGAAGGGAGGGTGTGTAGGGGACGTGAAGGGAGGGTGTGTAGGGGACGTGAAGGGAGGGTGTGTAGGGGACGTGAAGGGAGGGTGTGTAGGGGACGTGAAGGGAGGGTGTGTAGGGGACGTGAAGGGAGGGTGTGTAGGGGACGTGAAGGGAGGGTGTGTAGGGGACGTGAAGGGAGGGTGTGTAGGGGACGTGAAGGGAGGGTGTGTAGGGGACGTGAAGGGAGGGTGTGTAGGGGACGTGAAGGGAGGGTGTGTAGGGGACGTGAAGGGAGGGTGTGTAGGGGACGTGAAGGGAGGGTGTGTAGGGGACGTGAAGGGAGGGTGTGTAGGGGACGTGAAGGGAGGGTGTGTAGGGGACGTGAAGGGAGGGTGTGTAGGGGACGTGAAGGGAGGGTGTGTAGGGGACGTGAAGGGAGGGTGTGTAGGGGACGTGAAGGGAGGGTGTGTAGGGGACGTGAAGGGAGGGTGTGTAGGGGACGTGAAGGGAGGGTGTGTAGGGGACGTGAAGGGAGGGTGTGTAGGGGACGTGAAGGGAGGGTGTGTAGGGGACGTGAAGGGAGGGTGTGTAGGGGACGTGAAGGGAGGGTGTGTAGGGGACGTGAAGGGAGGGTGTGTAGGGGACGTGAAGGGAGGGTGTGTAGGGGACGTGAAGGGAGGGTGTGTAGGGGACGTGAAGGGAGGGTGTGTAAGGGACGTGAAGGGAGGGTGTGTAGGGGACGTGAAGGGAGGGTGTGTAGGGGACGTGAAGGGAGGGTGTGTAGGGGACGTGCTGGGCTATGGAGTGACGGACTAGCTACCGAGAATGGGGGGACAGCGTCACATGCAGCAGCCACTGGGGCCTGCAGGTGCTTTTCAATAGGATGAAATCTCAGGAGCGAGCAAATGTGTGTATAAGAGCATGCGTGGGCGGTTGCATCCACATGTGGGTCACAGTTTCAGCTGCTGTATGTGACGAGAAATGGCACGATAGTGACCGGGTGGAGGGTCATGCACCCAGACAGTCTGCGTGCATGACTCTCCTCCCAGTCGTCATGGTGTCGTTGTGCGAGGTGACTTTTGAATCGACTCAGAAGTCACTGCGTGCATGACCCTCCTCCCAGTCGTCATGGTGTCGTTGCGCGTCACAGACAGCAGCTGCACCCGTGACCCATGCATTGATGCCATATACACCTCCCCAACCCACACACTTATACACACATTCGATCGCACCTGGAAATCCATCCGGTTGAAAAGCTCTTGAAGCGCCTTGTGGCTGTCAGGGTGCATGACCCTCCTCCCGGTGGTCATGGTGTCGTTGCGAGTCACATACAGCCCACCTTCACATGCATGCATCCCCCTACCCACACATGTATGCACACATTCGATCTCACCTCGAAACCCATCCGGTTGAAAAGCTCTTGTAGGGCCTTGTGGCTGTCAGGGTGCATAACTCTCCTCCCAGTGGTCATGGTGTCGTTGCGCGTCACATACAGCAACCGCACCCGCGACCCATCGTCAAGGTAGTGCCGATCGCCGCTGCTGCCGCCACCACCGCTGCTGCCGCCGCTGCCACCGCTGCTGCCGCCGCTGCCACCGCTGCTGCTACTGCTGCTGCTGCTGCTGCTGTCACCAGCACTTCCACCACCACCAGAGCTCGCGGCCATGATATCGGGCACCGGTTGGCCGTCGGGAGTGAGAAACACCTCCCTCAGTCGCTGCCTCACCACCTCTGCCTCCTCCGCCATACCGTTGAATGTGATGGCCTGGAGGGGAAGGGAGAGATGTGGGGAGTTGGTGAGGTACAAGGGGTAATTGAAGGAAGGAAGCGGCAAGAGGCAACCTCTCTCAATCGCTGCCTCACCAGCTCTGCCTCCTCCGCCATGCCATTGAATGTGATGGCCTGGAGGGATGGGGAGTGGGAGGGGGCAGTTGGGTGCAGGAAGGTCAGAGTTGGAATGCGGGGGAGAGGTGAAAAGAGAAACACCTCTCTCAGTCGCTGCCTCACCAGCTCTGCCTCCTCCGCCATGCCATTGAATGTGATGGCCTGGAGGGATGGGGAGTGGGAGGGGGCAGTTGAGGTGCAGGAAGGTCAGAGTTGGAATGCGGGGGAGAGGTGAAAAGAGAAACACCTCTCTCAGTCGCTGCCTCACCAGCTCTGCCTCCTCCGCCATGCCATTGAATGTGATGGCCTGGAGGGATGGGGAGTGGGAGGGGGCAGTTGAGGTTGAGGTGCAGGAAGGTCAGAGTTGGAATGCGGGGGAGAGGTGAAAAGAGAAACACCTCTCTCAGTCGCTGCCTCACCAGCTCTGCCTCCTCTGCCATACCGTTGAACGTGGCGGCCTTGCGATAAGTAAGATTGAAGATACGAGTTGCAATGTGGGGGGGAGTTGAAGGAGGGATACGCCTCCTTCAATTACTGCTCGCGTCAGCAGACAGGAAAGCACCTTGAGCAGGCCGGGCTCAATAAGTGTCCGGAAGCACATGCACAGAACAAGAATGGAAGCACAAAGTGCCTCATCTTGAGTAGGCCAAGCAAAACAAGCGTCTGGAAGCACATGGGACGCTCATCACTAGCTGCATTCAACTGCCCCTCAAACTCCGCCCGCCCACCAGCCTTTAAAACACACCTTGATGAGGGAAGACAGGCGTACCTTAAGAAAGCCAGGCACAACAAGGGTCTGGAAGCACATGGGCCTCTCATCGCTGGCTGCATTCAACTGCCCCTCAAACTCACCCTGTCACGGCCCACAAGCCTTGAGGGGTCTCAAAAACACACCTTGAGAAGGGAAGAGTGACTCACCTTGAGAAATCCGGGCACCACGAGTGTCTGGAAGCACATGGGCCTCTCATCGCTTGCAGCATTCAACTGCCCCTCAAACTCCACCCGCCCTCCAGCCAGAGGGCCGGGGGAGAGGAGGGAGGAAGGCGAGATGGAGGCGAGGAGGGAGGGGAGGAGGGAGGTGGGGAGGAGAGGCTCGAGTGCCATGCGGAGGAGGAGGTGCAGCATTGATGGCAGCCAGCCGTGTGGTCCGTGCTCCTTCATTCTGAGAGAGAAGCGGGTTCGGGAACAAGTCAGAATAAGAAAGGGGGGGGAGTGGTGTGAGTTGGGGAAATAGGAGTGCCATGCGGAGGAGGTGCAGCATTGATGGCAGCCAGCCATGTGGTCCATGCTCCTTCATTCTGAGAGGGAAGCGGGTTAGGGAACAGGTTGGAGAATGAGGTGGGTGAGTGTGAGTCACAGGGGGGCGTGAAAGGGGATTGGATTGCCATGAAGAGGAAGAGGTGCAGCGTGGAGGGCAGCTAGGCGTTTGCCCCGTGCTCCTTCATTCTGGGAATTAAGGCGGTTAGGAAAAAGGGGTTGAGTGAGGTGTGAGTGACAGAGAGGTATAGCGTTTAGGTGAGGGAAGGAGAAAAAACTGCATGTGGGTGTGAGAGTGAGAAGAGAGAGTGAGGCGAAACAGGAACGAGAGACAGAGTGGAAAGCATCGAATGCATCACCTGTGCACGGTCCAGTCGGCACGGGGGAGCAAGAACCGATCGACACGTGGCAGGCCGCTCTTAACTGTCACGTTGTTCACGAGAAGAATATGTGCCGCCTTGCCTGCACGTGAGAGGGAAAAAAGAAAGCAGGAAGATAAATCACTTGCTTTATAATGGCCCATAAAGGCCCGTCTTGGAGGTCACGTTGTTCACGAAAAGAATATGTGCCGCCTTGCCTGCACATGAGAGGGCACAGAGAAAGAAACGGAAGGTGATTATAGGTGTTTCAAAATGGCCTGCTGTGGGTGTCAAATCGATCGAAACCAGGATGCGCCAGTGTGTGAAGCTATAATGTTTCTTTCTCCGAGACGTCTCAAAAACTCCCTCACCTAAAATGGCCTGCTGTGGGTGTCACATCGATCGAAACCAGGATGCGCCAGTGTGTGAAGCTCAGAGAGCCAAAGGGTTTGGAATGGATGGGAGAAAGAAACATTATAGCTTTTCCGGTCAATGCTTGCCCCGATCCGGATATTCCTCCTGGCTTGACTTTCCGCTTTCTCTTCCACCTTTTCTCTTCCACCTTTGACTTTCTCCTGGCTTGACTTCCGCTTTCGCTTGATTTGAACGTTCAAATCACCTTTGACTTACGCCCACCTAGAAAGTGTGCCACGTTGGTGGTCTGGTGCGTCAGAGGCACAAACAGAGTCCCGCCCATTCGCCACTCCGCCTCCCCCCCAACCCACCGCCGCCACCGCGCATCCCCTGCGGCCTGCAGCCCGCCTTTCACGGGCGCCTCTGAGAGCGCCGATCTCAGCATGCGGCCGAACTGAGGCAGGTTTGAGCAGGACGTGGGAGAGAGCAGCGCGGATTTGTTGGCTGCGGCGGGGGCATGGACCGGGGGGAGGCAGGGGTGGGGGGGGCGCGGGGGGAAAGCAGTGCTGCTGGTGCTGCTGGTGCTGTCGGTGGTGTCGGTGGTGTCGGTGGTGTCTGTGATGTCGGGTCCGTATCTGCCGAGCAACGCCGACCCGTTGTAGCACACGTTGCGGCAGACGCAGACAGCCTGGGTGCAGCAGAAGGCGTTGCGGAGCCGGTAGCACGCGCAGCCCGAGGGGAAGGCGGCGGGGAGCGCGGAGGGGGAGGTGGAGAGGGGGACGGGGAAGGTGGGCGGAGGGAGGGGCGGGATGGGGGTGAGAGAGGCGGAGGCGGAGGGAGTGGTGGTGTCAGTGGGGAGGGAAGTGGGGAGGGAGGTGGGGATGGGGGTGGGGATGGGGGTGGGGGAAGTAATAAGAGGGGCGGAGGCAGAAGAGGTGGGAGAAGAGGAGCCTGTGCTGATGGGGTGGGTAGTGGCAGCAGTGCCAGTGGCGTCAGATGGTGTGGTGTTGCTGCTATCAGCAGTCGCTGCAGTAGCCGCTGCAGTTACAGCAGCAGTAGAGGTACCAGCGGCACCACCACTGCTGCCAATCTCTTTCCCTCCGATCTTTACCCCTGCAATGCTCCCCTCCTTTGTTTTCTTTTCCGTCCCTTCCTCTCCCCCTTTTGCTCTCTCCCCCAATCTCTCCCCCACGTCTTTCGGCTCTCCCCTCAGAGCAGCAAACACCTTCCCAGCAACTTCCCTTATCGTAGATAACACCTCCCCTGTGTCCACTTGCAGGGCGGAGTCTTTTGTCCCATTCCCCAGCAGCAGCCAATAGTGCATCTGCGACACGCTGGCTAGGTGGTGGTAACACGCGTTGGGGTAACCCCGGGGGCGGATTTCCAGTAGGAAGGCGCCACGTGGCATGAAGAGGAGGTTGGTCAGGGCGGCCCCGTGCGTGCCGACCAATAGGGCGGCTCGGCGGAAGAGAGCCCGGGCTTCAACAAGGGGGAATGGGGGGCAGAGATGGAGGGCGGGCAGAGATGGAGGGGGGGCAGAGATGGAGGGCGGGCAGAGATGGAGGGGAGAATTTCGGATTTGTGTGAAAAATAAGGGGAGGTACTTAGTACTTGTTAGAAATCAAAAAGTTGATTATATTGAGGAAAGAAGGGTATGCATATGATGCAAGAGAGAGGTGGAAGGGCGGAAGGTGATTGGGGGCAAATAAATGGTGGAATGGTCAGCCACAATCGGTCCCACAATGTGTTTGGGTTCACCAATCACAAGGTTAGGACCGATGTGGAATGACCACCAATGAACACATTGCTTGTGTTGGGGTGTCCATCACAAAATGGTGGGATTGGCGCCCCCAACACAAATATACACCCGAATCGGGTACATGCTCAATTCAACTGTACACCACATGTTGTCAAATACTGAGGCGAGGGAGGAGGCAAGAGGACAAAACGAGAGTCAGAAGATGAAGAAAGGTGAAAGAATAGGAGGCGTCAGTGGTGGAGGTGAGACAGTGGCAGCAGTGGGGCAAGGGAAAACGTGGTGGTTACCAGAGAATTCTCAAAAAACACGCGCTGCAGCAGTGGGGCAAGGGAAAACGTGGTGGTTTTTTGAGAATTCTCAAAAAACACGCGCTGCAGCAGTGGGGCAAGGGAAAACGTGGTGGTTACCAGAGAGAAGCTGAAAGAGTTGGAGAAGCAGTTGAAGTACAAAATGAGCATGGAGGGAACATGCGCACGCATAAAAGGGTGCCAAAACATCCCCTTCTCCGTTGCGCTATAATCAACCCCTCTTCTTCAGTGCTGTAAAATCAACCCCTCCCCTCTTTAATTTACAGCACAAAAGGGAAAGGGCTAATTGTACAACATGGAGGAAGGGGTGATTTGGCACACGGGCGCTCGCGTTCATGCGTGCACATGTTCCCTCCATGCTCATTAAGTATTCTTCCAGCTCCTGAAGCTTTTCTCAGATAACCACCACGTTTTTCCTTGTCCCACCGACGCCCCCTGTCTCATACCTTTCTTCATCCTCTGACCCTTGACTTGTAGCTTGTCACAAAAGTCTAGCATGCTACCATATAATCTAGCAGTACTTGACAAAACAGGTAGTGAGAAAAAGAGAGGCACGGGGGGAATTACAGTGCTCTACTCAGTATATGAGTGCTCACCGACACATCCATTCACTCACTCACTCCATCGAGGGTCACTCACTGTCTCAGCCACTCCTGCACTCTCTTCATGACTCACCCACCAACCCACTCACCCATTCTAAACACGACACACTCCCTCACTCACCCATTCCTACACTCACTCAGTCCCCCACTGCTGCACCTACAGCCCCACTCATTCACTCACTCACTCTTGCACCCCAAAAACCACCTTCCATGGCAGGCAGCCATACCTAAAAAACCACCACTCGCATCAAATCAAACACCTTCACTTACTCTCACTCACTCACCCACACAATCACTTACTCACTCACTAGACCACTCACCTTCCATGAGACGCAGACTTCCATCAAACACCACCACTCGCCTCTCCCCAAACTCCTTCCTCATCCACCCCTCCACCCTCTCATACACACTCTCCTCCAAATTCCTCGACAGATTTCCGGGCCTCCGAACCAGGATCGTCACCCAGTTCAGCCCCGTCGTCATCCCAAACGTCTCCGCAAGGCTCGGCACAGGTCCGGGCTTAAGCACGTCGAGCCGCCGGGGATGTTGTGACTGCTGCTCCTCACGCTGGCTAAGTAAGTCTGTTATGTCTTGGTAGCTTAGTGGGGAGGTTCGGCGGAGGCGGAAAGTTTCGGGCTCGAAAATGGGCAGCCCGTCGGGCGGAAGGAAAAAGTTTCGGCGGAGGAAGCGCCAGATGGTGGGTGTGGCCCGGCCGCAGCAGCGGTAGACAGGCTGGGGGAGGGATTGAACGAGGGAGGAGGAAGGGGAGAGAGGACAGAGAGGAGGGAGGTGAGGAAGGAAGATGCTTCGAATCAGGAATCGCCAGATAGTGGGTAGATAGGCCTGGTCCACACTGTAGCAGCGGTAGACAGGCTGGAGGGCGGGGAGCAAAAAGGAGGAGAACGGTGGGGTGAGAGAGGATGGGGGTGCTTCGAAATGGGAAGTGCCAGATGGTGGGTGGGTGTGGCCCGGTCACAGCAGTGGTTGACAGGGTGGAGGGGGGGAAACAAGGGGGGAAGGAAAGGAAGCAAGAGGGACCAAGGGGTTAGGGGAAACAGGAGAGAACGGCAAGGAGAGAGGTGAGAACATGGCCTTTAATACCTGGTAGAAACCATGGCCTTTAATACCTGGTAGAAACCATGGCCTTTGTTTACTGGTGAAGCGCTAACCCCTCCGTACCTGATAGAGCGCCTGTGCAAGGAAGAGGGTGTTGCGGTGCTGCCAATCAAGCACGAGCAGATTCATGTGCGCTGGCTCCACTCCCACTATGTGCTTCAACGTGCTGTTGTACAGCTGGTTGGAGCTACATGCATGGGACCCTTGCTTACCTGGTAGAGAGCACTAACCCCCTTTCACCTGATAGAGCGCCTGTGCAAGGAAGAGGGTGTTGCGATGCTGCCAATCAAGCACGAGCAGGTTCATGTGCGCTGGCTCCACTCCCACTATGTGCTTCAACGTGCTGTTGTACAGCTGCAGCTGCACGGGTGGTATGGTGGGACATGATACACATGCACACACACACGCACAGACACACACAAAATCAAGTATTTCTTGCATAATCAGAAAGGTTATTTAGTTTTGAGGTGATCTGCATCATAGCATTATGCTATGATGCTATGTGATGGTGGTCTGCTGAATTGCTAGTCATCCCCACAATCCCATGCCAGTCTTGTGATGCCTCATCATCTGCATATTTACTTTTGAGGCGCCTCAAAACTAGTCTTGTGATGCCTCACCTCATCATCTGCATATTTACTCCTGCTTTGTCTCAACTCATCATACCCTCTCGCTCACCTGAGCAGCGCGCATGACATTGAGTATATTCGGATGCTCCTGCAGCAGCTCCCTCAGCACCTGAGTGTTTACTTTTTCTAGTCCTTCCTCCTGTGAGTCCTATCACGCTCTCACCTGAGCGGCGCGCTTGACAATGACTACATTCGGATGCTCCTGCAGCAGCTCTCTTAGCACGAGCCACTGCGGCGCCCACTCGATGATGGAGTGATAGAAGCCCTTGTGGTGCTGTGGTACCTCACCTCACCATCTCTGTTCTTACTGACTCGATTCTTGCACTTCTGCTCTCACCTGAGCAGCGCGCATGACAATGAGAATATTCCGGTGCTCCTGCAGCAGCTCCCGCAGCACGAGTCACTGCGGCACCCATTCGATGATGGAGTGATAGAAGAAGCCCTTGTGGTTCTGTGCAACTATCTGTGCTTCATGCACACCACACCAGCTCTCACCTGAGCAGCGCGCATCACGATAAGGATGTTGGGATGTTCTTCCAGCAGTTCCCTCAGCACGAGCCACTGCGGCACCCACTCGATGATGGAGTGGTAGAAGCTGGTGTACTGCCTCGCCTCACATCTGTGCTCTAACTAGCCCATAGCGTCATACATGCTCTCATGCCACTTCTCGCCCTTCCTCTCACCTGAGCTGCTCACCTGAGCAGCGCGCTCACCTGAGCAGCGCGCATGACAATGAGAATGTTGGGGTGCTCCTGCAACAGTTCTCTCAGCACGAGCCACTGCGGCACCCACTCGATGATGGAGTGGTAGAAGCTGGTGGCGGGCGTGTACAGCATGCTCACCATGCGCCCCACGCGCTGCACCGTGGTGTTGCCGCTGGGGTAGGTGAACTGGGTGGGATGGGGGAGATGGGGGATGTGGAGGGGAGATGGGGGAGATGGGGGCGATGGGGACAGGGAAGATGGGAAGCTGGTGGCGGGCGTGTACAGCATGCTCACCATGCGCCCCACGCGCTGCACTGAGGTGTTGCCGCTGGGGTAGGTGAACTGGGTGGGGGCACACAGAAAGGATGTGACAGTGAGGAAAGGGATGCGAGAAGGCGACACAGAAAAGAGGGGTAGCATGCACACCGTACCCCCACCCATCGGACCAATCTCATATGGGATAACTAAATCTGGTGGAGCACACACACAGGGAGTGACACAGAACAAGGGAGAGCTGACGGCGAGTGTGTGCAGTGGGGTGTTTTTGAGAATTCTCAAAAACAATCTGGTGGAGCACACACACAGGGAGGGAGTGACACAGAAGAAGAGAGAGCTGACGGCGAGTGTGTGCGGTGGGGGCTGGTGAAGACGGGGGAGGGGGCCAGAGGCAAGAGAGAGCTAGTAACCCCAGTTCGTGACTCACATCAGCATCCGAAAAGCAGCCATGGCGGAAAAAGTGCATGGAGCTGTTGAACACCACGCCGTTCCAATCCATCATCACATCTCGCATCTCGAAATACTGAAACAGTGTCCTGTCATGCCGCACATAGTCCCCCGCTTGCGAACATCTCAAATCTGCGCCATTTGCCCCAACCTCGTCCCAATTCTCCAGCTTCGGACAGTTCTCTGGAGGTCCGGGGTCGATGTGGATCGGCGCCACTATGTCGGTTCGGTGGCAGGCTCGCAGGTTTGGGAACGCCGGGCCGCAGGGAGCGAGGTTCGGACAGGATCCGCCGGTGCACTGCAGCCGGACCTCCTTTTCAGGGATGTGAAATTTGAAGTATTCTAGAAACGCGTTGGCTAAGTGGCTTCGGGTTATGCTTGTATTGAGAGTGGTTGTATCGAGTATGGCGTCTGGGAAGGAGGGGAGAAAGGGTGAACCTTCTGGAATGACCGGGATTGGGAGGTTGGGGTTGTTTAGCTCTACGCCGGTTTTACTCATTATAATCGGACGCGGTTTCCGTTTAGGGCTGGTCTTTGCTTTCAAACTGCTCTGCTCCGTTGACTGGGTTGACTTGGTTGACTGAGTTGACTTGGTTGACTTTTGGTCCGTAGGTTTGATCGGATCCGTGGTGGTGCTCTGATGCAGCTGAACGGTAAGCTCCTTCTCGAATTGGTTCACTCGTCCCAGGAGCAGCATGCTGTCATGGTTTTCCCCCCTGCTGCTGCTGCTGCTGGTGGTGCCGGTTGTGGTGGTGGTGGTGGTGGTGCTGCTGCTGCTGCTGCTGCTGTCCGAAGCCGTTTGCAGATTTGATTCTCCTAACGCGAGACGGGAAGGGGAGAGAGTGACGGAGAAGAGGAGGGAGAGGGAGAGGAGGATCGGGCTGATGGAACGGCTGTGGAATGGTAAGAAGGAATTGCCGTGTTTTTTACGATGTGTTGACGGACGGAACCAGACTGCTGTCCGCAAATCGCGAAGGCTGTACATCCTCGTCTGTAACATACCGCCGTGCGTTGCAAAACCTTCTGTAGCTGTACTTATCTTCTAAAGATAACAAGCGGCTTCTCTGGCGCTGGATCGGATAAATGATCCGAGGCTCCTGCCGCTACGATACGCACGGGCGTTCCAGTGGTGGTTTCTCAGTCGAATTAAAGGACATACCCGACCAAATAACATCCTTATTGAGACACCAGACTTCAAGTTCACACCCTACTGACCCGTGAACGCGGACTGGCCTAGCTACGCGGCATAGCGAAATTCTACAATCACAGCTCTCCCAATTTACAATCACTGCTTTCCAAAACCGACAACCGCCATGAACTACTCAGCTGTGAGCGTAATGTGATATGTTCGAGATCGAGAAGAGTGGCAGGCATTCTTGGGAATTGTTTGCTGGCTCCTAGGAATTAGGGCGTGGAAGATCGCTACGAACATGTGTTTGGTTGCTCCTGTGGTCGAACATCTGGCCTCGTCAATGGCTTCCGACATCTTTCGCCGGGTAACACATGAAACCCCACATTGCAAATCAGAGAGGCTTTAAGGTTTCGGAAGGGGCCTTGGTCGCTCTCAAGCGAAGAGCTCTGAGTTCGTCAAACACTCGGAGCAAATTGAGAGAGAGTCGCAACATGTGTTACTGTCGCAACTGCGCGACCAATGCCCTTGTTCACAGGGATCTTCCACGCTCTTACAGGCATAGCACCTTGTGGCTCTGGTGTGGCGAGTTAGTTTGGCGAAATAGGCGATGAGTCAGGTTACAGCTCGCCTAACGAGGTGACCAGAGCCGAGTCAGTAAATATTTAGGTCGCGGTTTACAATAATGAACTACCTTACACCGGAAAGGTGCGGGAACGAGAAAGCGCTGAGCCTTACCCGACATCCAACACCCAACACCCAGAGGTTTTATAAGATTTCCCCTAAACCTCTCCAAGCATTCCGAATCGCACTAGTACCGTTTATTGAGACGCCTCTAGAGTTATTTTCAAGCTAGGATAGTTCCAGCGATGCCGATATTCGCGTCCTCGTCACGCGAAAATACGTCACGTGCTAATTCAGACGCAACTCCTTCTGGTAATGAAGCGCTTAGAAAGGACTCATTAGCTGCCCGTATGGAAACGGTTCCGCCTGAACGCGACGCATTGCCCGTCCGCGTGAGATTATTTGTCGGCGGGCTGCCCGGGAACGTCTCAGAAGATGAAGTTCGAGGAAGATTCCAGCCGTTCGGGCAGGTCAACGAAGTCAACGTGATTCTTGCCAAGTCGCACCAATTGCTCCCCGCGTCCTTCGCGGCGCCTCCCTCGCAGCAAACAGATCCTGGCCGTCCATTTCAAGAGGCGAACGGAGATGAAGCCGATCGGCAGTGCAGCCACGTGGCAGTGTGCCGTGGCTTTGCTTACGTGGACATGGTTCCCAAGTCCGCCAAGGCCTTGCACCAATGCTTGTCGCTGGTGGGTCTCTCGTCATATATTGTACGCGTTAACACCGATCCGTTACCGCATGTAGTCACTCATCCATCCCCTTATGCGCGTTGCCGTCCACCTTTTATTCTCCCCCAACCCGCACTCTCTTCCCCCCTCAACCTCTCTTCCCCCCACCCCCTCCCCCACTTACCGCCGGCCCCGAGCCGTACAATGTTTGCAAATGGAAGGGAGGAAGCCGCGGGAAAACCCCATAACCCGCCTCCTTTTTCCTTTTTCCCCAACCCTTCCGAAACCCCCCCAGTACAACGGGCGCATGGGATAGTTGGGGCGGATGCGCCGTATGTTGTTCTGAGAATTCCCAAAAAACGTAGGAAGCAACAAAGGAGATTTTTCTCGAGCAGGAAGTCCGTATATTTTTGAGACGTCTCAAAAATAACCTATCTACACATGTTTTCTCGAGCACGAAGTCCGTATGCCCCTCCTCTTGTTTTCACTTCTCTCCATTCCCCCACTCCCGCAGTACAACGGGTGCATGTGGAAGGGGGGAAGGATGCGCGTGGAAGCAGCAAGGAAGATTTTTCTCGAGCAGAACGCCAAGGAGCGGAGCGAGAGGGAGAGGGAGAGAGGGAGGAGGCCGAGGAGAGGCCCCTTGAGTCCGAACCTGCACTTCAATTCAAACCCTCCCTCCCTTTACCTCCCCCGCCTTTCTTTCCCCCTACCCGCACAGTACAACGGGTGCATGTGGAAGGGGGGAAGGATGCGCGTGGAAGCAGCAAGGGAGAGTTTCCTCGAGCAGGAAGTCCGTATACCCCCTCTCGTGTTTTCACTTCTCCCCATCCCCCTACATGTTACATGTGCGCAGTACAACGGGTGCATGTGGAAGGGGGGCAGGATGCGCGTGGAAGCAGCAAGGGAGAGTTTTCTCGAGCACAACGCCAAGGAGCGGAGCGAGAGGGAGAGGCAGGAGGCCGAGGAGGAGGCAGAAGCGAGGGCGAGGGCGGAGGCGGAGCGAAGCGGTGGTGGTAACCGGGTTATGCAGGCCTCTGCCAGTGGGTGTTTGAGCCCGGTGGAGGTAGCTGCATTGAAGGCACGGAAGCTAGAGCCGATGAACCTGGCTTGGCGCGGAGGGAAGAAGGTACGTGCCTGCCTTCTTGTCTCCCTCACTCCCTCACTCCCTCACTCCCTCACCCCTCACTCCCTCAACCCCTCATTCTCAATTCACCCTTGAGCCCAGAGGAGGTAGCCGCCCATGAACCCATGAACCCATGAACCCATGAACCCATGAACCCATGAACCCATGAACCCATGAACCCATGAACCCATGAACCCATGAACCCATGAACCCGTGCACTCAAGACACGGGAGCTGGAGCCCATGAACCTGGCATGGCGCGGAGGCAAGAAGGTAACTGGCTCTGTCAGTCTTGCCCCTCATTCGCCCCTTTCTCCCCCACTCACTCACTGTCTCGCCCCGTGGGTGTTTAAGCCCTGTTGAGACTCTCAAAACCCCTCTCTCTCTAAATCCCCTCTCTCTCAATCCCCTCTCTCTCTCAATCCCCTCTCTCTCTCAATCCCCTCTCTCTCTCAATCCCCTCTCTCTCTCAATCCCCTCTCTCTCTCTCAATCCCCTCTCTCTCTCAATCCCCTCTCTCTCTAAATCCCCCTCAGATGCAGCGCATGCCAGCAAATTGGGCCGGGGTGTGGGCGGCACAAGCTGAGCTTCCACCTGCTTTCTGAGACAGCTTGATAAGGCTGTCAACATCTCCTTGTCAACCCCTCTCAATCCCTCTCAACCCCTCTCAACCCCTCTGAACCCCTCTGTTCCACCCCTCCTCAGACGCGGCGCATGCCGGCAGCGGGCGGGCCGGGGTGTGGGCGGCACAAGCTGAGCTTCCAGCGGCTTGCATTCGAGCCCTCCCTCTCCGCTGTTCTTGCCCGCGCCGCTGCTGCCACCGCTGTTGCTGCTGCTGCTCCTGATGAGGATGGTGATGATGGTGCTGCTCGTGCTTCTGCTGCTGCGGTTGCTGCTCGTGCTGGTGTTGCTTCTGCTGCTGCTGCTGCTGCTGCTGTGGGGGGAGGGCAAGAGAGAAGGAAGGGTGGAGGAGGGGAGGGTGCTGAAGGGTATGCTGGTTTTGGGGAGCAGCAGCAGTGGGAGGAGCATGAGGAGGGGAAGGAGGGGGGGGAGGAGGATGAGGGGTTGGAGAGAGAAAGGGAGATGCAGAGGCGACTGCTGCAACGGTTCCTGATTATGGAAGGGGAAGGGGCGGAGGCGGAGGGGGGGAAGGTGGAGGGGGGAGGGATGGGCGTTGCGGGGAGTAAGGGAGATAGGGCGGAGAAGGGCGCAGAGGGAAGGGATGGGAGTGAGAGTGGTGGGCGGAAGGGGAGTGAGATGGGGGGGGGAGACGGTGATGTGGTGATGAGCGAGAGGCGAGTTGGGGAAGAGGCGGAAGAGGGGGAAGCGGAAGAGGAAGGGGAAGAGGAAGAGGAAAAGGATGAGGAGGAAGAGGAGGAGGATGAGGAGGAAGAGGAGGAGGATGATGGGATGAACATCAATCTGACATGGAGTGGGCCGAGCAAAGGCAGCACAGGCAGCAAAGAAGGCAAAGGAAGCAAAGGGAATGAGAATATCAGTAGTAAGGTGGTGCAGGAAACGAGGTCTAGGGCTGTGGCAGGCACAGGAGGTGCAACTGGTGTGGGCGGTGTGGGTGGTGTGAGTGGTGTGTTAGTTGGGGGCACGGATGGTGCAGCAGAGGGTAAGTGGGGGCAGAAATTAGCAGGGATGAAAGGGGTAGAAGAGAAAGTTGGTAGGGAGAAAGGTGTAAAAGAGGTGGTGGTGGAAGGAAAAGTGTTTGGGGAGAAAGTGGTGGGGAGTGAGAAGAAGGAACAAGTTGAGAAGACAGGGGAGGGGGGGTCGCGATGGGACAGGCTGTTTGCTGTTGCTTCGTGTGATGTGGAGGAGGAGGAGGAGGAGGAGGAGGAGGAGGAGGAGGAGGAGGAGGAGGAGGAGGAGGAGGAGGAGGAGGAGGAGGAGGAGGAGGAGGAGGAGGAGGAAGGGGAGGAAGAGGAGGAAGAGGAGGAAGAGGAGGAAGGGGGTGTAGAGGAGGGTAATGGGGAAGAGGGGAATGAGAGATGGCAGAAAATTTGGGGAAGGTCAAATCTGGAGGGAGAGAGCATGGAAGAGGATATATTGGAAGAAGATGAGTTGGAGAAGAGTGAGGAGGGTGAGGAGAGTGAGGAGGGTGAGGAAGAAGTAGGGGAGGAGGAGAAAGAAGTCAAGAGGATAAAGGTAATGAAAGCAGGAGAGGAGCGAGGGGAGGAGGAGATGGAAATGAAGGAGGGGGGTGCAGAGGAGGGGGAGGGGGAGGGGGAGGGAGTGGAGGGCGAGATAGTGGAGGAGGGTGAGGGAGAGGAGGGAGAGATAGAGGAGGAGGGTGAGGGGGATGAGGAGGGAGAGATAGAGGAGAAGGGGGGAGGAGAGGAGGAAGGTGAGGGAGAGGGAGAGATAGAGGAGGAGGGTGAGGGGGATGAGGAGGGAGAGATAGAGGAGAAGGGGGGAGGAGAGGAGGAAGGTGAGGGAGAGGAAGAGGGGAAGGAAAAGTTGGAGGGCGAGGAAGAGGAGGCGGGCATGGGAGAGGCAGAGAGTGAAGGAGAGGAGGAGGGTGAGGAGGGTGGAGCAGGGAGTGAGGATAAGGGAGTAGATGAAGGGGAGGAGGAGGAAGGTGAGGGGAGTGAGGAGGAGGAGGAGGATGTGGAGGAAGGTGAGGAAGAAGGGGAGGAAGAGGAGACATCAGGGGAGGGGGAAGAGGAAGAGGAGGAGGAGGAGGAGGAGGAGGAGGAGGAGGAGGAGGAGGAGGAGGAGGAGGAGGAGGAGGAGGAGGAGGAGGAGGAGGAGGAGGAGGAGGAGGAGGAGGAGGAAGGGGAAGGCAAGGGGAGTGATAAGAGCACAAGAAAGGGGGCAGAAGTGCCTTCGTGGGACAGTCTATTTGCTTTGGCTGCTGGGGAGGGTCTTGGAGCTGGGGAGGGGAAGGGGAAGGAAGATGGGAGGAAGGGCTCTGTGACAGATGGTGGTGTCAGTGGTGGGGGAGGGAAGAGGAAAGGGGCATTGGAGGGGCCTAGTGAGGGGAGGAAAGGGGGAAAGCGCCAGAAGACAGAAGGGCTGGAAGCAAAGCCAGCTAGTGATGGTGCTGGCAGTGCTGCTGCTGCTGTTGGTGGTGGTGGTGGTGGCACTGGTGTTGCTGCTGCTAGTGCTGGTGGGGCTGCTGCCGATGCAGCAGCAGCAGCAGCAGCAGCAGCAGCAGCGAGTGGGGGTTTGGCGGAGAGGCAGGAGCAAGTGGGCAGTGCGTGGGTGCAGAAGTTCACATGGAAATCGCTCACCAGTGCTGATGGCAAACTCTCCTTCTCCCTCAAACCGGTTCTGGGTGAACTGAAGGGCAGTGAGGCACAGGAGGAGGGAGGTGGGACGAAGGAAGGTGGAGGTGGGGAGGATGGGAAGGGGGAGGTGCCTCGAGGTGGAGAGGGACAGCAGGACGGAGGGAGACGGGAGACGGAGGCGGGACGGGGTGGGAGGAGGGAAGGGGGGTCGTTGTTTGGGGCAGAGCTGGTAGCGCCTGTAACAACTGTAACAACTGGCTTCAATGGTGCTGGTGCTGCTGGGGTTGGTCTTGGTGCTGCTGCTGGTGGTGGGATTGCGGGGAGAGGGGACGGTGGGGGAAGAGGATGGAGAGGGGGGAGAGGAGGGTTGTTTGGGAAGGGGAGGGGAATGGGTGGAAGGGGAGGAAGGTTGGATGGGGGTGCAGGAGAGGGGGAGGGAGGAGGCTCATCTGGGGGAGGTATACCTGACCTGTTGGCTTTGGAGGAAGCGAGAGGGGCAGGTGATATGGAGAAGCTTCTGATGGACATGGGAGGAAGCTTCCTCAAGTCGGAGGCGGAGGAGGGGAAGTGGAACCGCAAGAAGAATGAGCTGCGGCTGGAGTTGAAGCGGCAGCAGAAGTTTGCTCTGAGGAAGATGATGAAGTGAAGCTTTTCAGGCCTGCATTTCTGTTGGGATGTGCCTTGTGGAATAGGGAAGGCTAAACTGACACTACAAGTGTGTTGGAAAAGGTTTTAGGCTGTACTTTGGAGACTCAACTGGCCACAGATTGTTGCGCAGAGAAAGGTGATAAAAGGGCTGTAAATGAATATGATTATAAAACTTGCTTGGAAAAAAACTTGCTTGGAACTGCTCATTCAAGCTGCACAAAGTGGCATTTCTTTGGGAGTGTTGCGCTTCACGTCTTGCTAAATTATTATAAGCAAACAACATCTCAGAGATGTAACTAGACTGGTTACACCACAATTCTCTGCTGTGCTGTTCTTTCGCAACTCCAGCAGAGTGGCTGGAAATGTGAGGTGGTGCGGCAAATTCTGATCCGAAACAGTTCTCGTTCACAGCAAAGTGGTACAGTCCATATCCGCTCTCGAGTCGCGGACATCGCTTTTCTGCTCAATCCTCGTCAGCAAGAACTGGTGGCTTGAAAACAGTGGTTGGAAGCAATTTTGACTCCAGCGTCTGGGCAGTGGGGTGTCCGTTGGGCAGGTTTCTGGTCCTGCACTTGGACAGATCGTGGATTTCTATTTGTGGTGACGAGACCGCCACTTCAGCCACGTCAAATCTCCGCAGGTAAGGGAATGAAAGTGGCCAGCAATGTGGACTTTATTCAAGCCGCGTGACGGGAAATATTGGTGAAGTCGAGGCACCCTACCATAGACCCTCTCAAACCGTCTTGTAACTGTCAGTACCACCGTAGACCGCGGGTCGGTCAATGAAATAGTTGCTGTGTGTTGGCTGGGTTGGCATCAATCGCGCTGGACTCCCACCGCCTGCTCATGACGGACTAGGGTTTCGTGTGGCTGCTGCTGCTGCTGCACTCTAGAGATGCTGGTTGATGAAGCTACGTAGGTTGACGAAACATTCGTGCATTTATTCCCTCACTAAAAACTCGGTGCAAGGGTTGGCGGGAAAGGTGATAAAGAGGACATTCAGGCAGTAACAAGCAACTCGGCTGTGTTTCTTTCCGTCCCTCCACTACAAGCTTCGCTCCGCTTCGAGTAGTTGCGAACCCGTCAACCCAACAACCCTAGGCGCGACCTAAGGTTTACGGTGAAACACATAATAAGCAACATTATTTACTAAAGCTAATCGTTCGTGCCAATGGAGGCCAGCGTAACACCAGCATGGAAGGCACAAGCGCGTACACACGCGACCGCCATTTCTACCGCTTCCACCGCCAACTCCTCCCTCGCGGCTTCAGCTTACGTGTCGTCCGCCGTGCCGAAGGCGCAGCACCACCACAGCCAACGACGCGGCGCCGGCTTTCTCTGCCCGCGCTCGCGGATCGTTTACATGCGCGCACCGTTCACGCGGCCACACAGGCGGCACGTTCCTAGCGTGCTCGTACCGTCGCGGTCGGGGAGGCGCGGCCGCGGAGACGGCCTTAAATGCGATGTGTTAGTGCCTGGGTGTCCTTCTCCCGGCGAGCTGAGTGAAGGGGAGGGGGAGAATTCGCGCGGACCGGACGGGCTCCGGTGGAGGCGCGGGCAGAGGGGCTCGGCGCGCAGCGAGAATTTGGCGGTGGAGCAGCAGGCGGAAGAAAAACCCGATAATTGGGACTTTGTTGGGTCAAGTGGCGATTCTTCGGGTTCTGGAGACGAGGGTTCGAATCCTCATGAGTTCACATTTTCGGCGGAGAACAGTGTGATGGTGGACCAAGTGCGAATGCTACAGCACATCCACTCCTGCGCGCACGCGGAAGAGGATCTTGCGGGAGGGGATGCAAGGGGGATAATGCGCGCGACCGCCGGGGGGATGAAGCCGCGCGTGCTGAAAGCAAGCACGCCGATTCGTGATATTTATAAGTCGGAAGGTACGCCAGGCGAAGTTCGCCAATTCAGGGTTAGAGGGGGAAAGTACGTATGGAAAAGGAAGGTGGGAAAAGGGAGAAGGTTGGGGGAATGGAGGTCCGTGGACGTGAATGGGGTCACGGAGGAGAGACATGAGACTGTACATACGCATATCCCCGTATCGCCCCTCTTCCCATCTCCCACCAGCTCTCCCCTCCTTTCCTTCTTCCGCCCTTTCTTTCCCCCTTGAACCCGCACCGCCACCCCCTCTCACCCTCGCCGATAACCGCATTCGATTTTTTCTGTATTCTCTTATCCGGGCTGCCTCTTTCCCTATTCCCACATTGCTTTCACACCCGCGGTCCCACTTCCCTGCTCCCCGCACCCCTCTTCTCTCGCATTCCCCTCTTCTCCCCCTCCCTCCCCCCCCATCCCCACCCCCACCCCCCCTCTCTTTCCGTTTTGTTTTTGTTTTTGTTTTTTTTTGTAAAAGGTGCTGTGCATCTAGGCGGAGCCTCCGTTCCGCGTCGCCCTTACTTCCCCCTCGCCTTCTCTCCGCTCCACACGGTTCCCTCCTCCCCCCTTCCCCCCTCCTTCCCCCCCCTCACCTCCCCATTCCTCTCTTCCCTCTCCTTTCTCCCCTCTCCTTCCTCCCTCGGTTCCGGCAGGTCCTATCGACGAGGATGTGGTGTGCATGCAGGCTGACTGGCCGCTGACGTGGACGCACATCACGCTCGCGACTGGCGTATCGGTGGGCTCCGGAATTGCCGGGCCCGAGGACGTCACGATGCTCACTCAGGCGACAACTTGCACCGCCATTCTATGCTTGCAGGTGTGTGACTGTAGCGGGGGTAGGTTCGCAGGAACACCGATTACTTACATGCTGTGGTTATTTCTGTATGGTTACAGATGTGTGTTACAGACGGGTGGTTGCAAAAAGGAATTGTTGCAGTTGTCTAAGAATCCAAACCCTGATTTTCTTGAGCATGTGCGACAACAGCGTCCCGATGCTTCACTTCACTTGCATTCTTTTTCTTTATGTATGCTTTTGCTTTTTGTTTGGTATGCGAACTGTACTTTTCTCACGCGTATTGTCGACCTTCATTTCATCATTCGTTTTCGACCTTGGGATTGGTTTTCCAAGCAATCGAGAGTAGTCGGTCGGCTGTGGTTCGGGCAACGCCCGCAGCCGCAGCAGTCTTGGAAACGCATGAACTGACCGCTCATCCATTGCTTCTTATTGCGTACTAGGCGTCTGCAGCCTCTCGAGGCGTATAATCAGTAGATGCTTTCAGCGTGCAATGGTGTACGTTCAGGAGCTGGCAAAACGATGCGCGCTAAGACGCCCTAACATAGGACGACTTAACGGGATACTAACAACAGATTTTGGCGTTTAATAAAAGCTGCACAAAGATTCTTGGGAAAACTCAAAAGTGATTATGCTCAGGAGGACGAAAACGATGTTGTTACGGTTCCTTTTTTGTCGAGTGAATTGACCATGTTGAAAGTGCTCTTTCTCCAACATGTCGCCGTGTTCCGCATTCGTCCTTCTCTTCCCCATCCATGGCGCGGCGAGGAGTCTATGGAGTCACTCTCGTAGTTGACTGGTTTGTCGTAATTAGCGAACGGAAATAAGCGTTTTGCCATGCTGCTTCATTTCGAGTCCACTCCACTCAACCAGCAGTGTTCCACCAGCAGTGTTCCATCTCACTCCTCTCTCTCCTCGCTCTTCTCCCGTCCGTACGTGGCAGGGCGAGGAGTCCTTGGAGTCGTTCGGAGTTAACTGGAAGGCCGTTCAGGAGCAGGCGGAGCAGTGCGACGTCGCCATGTTCCGCGTTCCCGTGCCGGAATTCGACCAGCAGAAACAGGTAACCCGAGTAAGAACCAATGTGAGAAATTGACACTACTTTTTGTTCAACAAGTTGTAACCTTTTGCAACATATTATGAAGGAATTGATGCGATACACACAACTCTACATCTAGAACAGAGATGCAGTGACAAAACTTTTTGTTTGATTTATTACGGCTCAAAACAATGGTTTGTTTTTTATTTTCTTCCTCTTTTTTGTCGGAATTGCAGGTTGCTGGTATGGTGGAGGCGGTGCGTCTCCTGGCGTCGCTGCTGGTGACAGGTCACAGGGTCCACGTGGCATGCGCTACAGGGAAGAACTGCAGCCCGCTGGTCGTGCTCGGGTGAGTAAACGTGGTACTGTGTGGTTCAGAGTGGTTCTGCTATCCTAGGTTAGGTTGCGTGTAGTATTGCTGGGTAGAATGTGGTTCGGTGCTCCGACAGGTGGCATGAGCGACAGTAAAGCACAGGGCTGCCCGCCGGTCGTGCTCGGTTGAGTGCGGTGCTGCTTGGCTTATAAGCTGGATAGGGTCTGTATGGTAGTTCTCACACTCCTCCCTTCCCCCCCCACGCCCTCTTGTCTCTCCCGCACCCAGCTATCTGACGTTCCGTTCTTCCAGGGCCTGGCATGGAGCGAGGCCAAGGCCATGATCGTTGACAGCGTGCTGTTGAGTCAGATCGACCCTGGTCTAGCGCTCACGCTCCTCTCTCCCATCCCACCCGTCTCTCCCCCTTCTTTTCTTCCACTCTTCTCGCTCTCTCCCCAACGCAGCTACCTGACGTTCTTCCAGGGCCTCGCGTGGAGCGAAGCCAAGGCCATGATCGTTGACAGCGTGCCGTCCGCCGACCCGTCGCACGAGGCGTGGGAGCAGGTGAGAAGAAGACAAGAGCGGTGTGGTCGGCGAGGGGAAATCGGGGAATGGAAAACATGTGCTAGTGCGAGTGCGGTGCGGAGAGGGTAGTGAAGTGTGGGAGTAACAGGCCAAGGCTATGATCGTTGACAGCGTGCTGTCCGCCGACCAGTCGCATTAGGCGTGGGAGCAGGTGAGGGGGAAATGGGCGCAGGAAAAACGTATGCTAGTGCTGTGTTGAGAGGGAATGGAGCGGAGGAAGCTTCGGCCATGATGATCGTTGACAGCACGGAACAGAGCTATGATTGCTGGCAGAGTTGCGCTCACTGTTCTGCTCAAGAGGGATGGTCCAGGTGAGGGGAAATGGGTTCCGTAGGAGTTTGCATGTGTTAGGCTCAGCTCGTGCTGTCAGCAGCGGACGGGGTGGGCCCGCACAAAAGGTCGGGACAGGATGACGGAGCTGGCAGAGGAGCAGTACCAGCGCCGCATATAGCTGGGCGCGCCTTCCCCTTTAGTACTCCTTGTTTTTTGAGAATTCTCAAAAAACACGCACCTTCCCCTTTAGTACTCCTCTCACTCGATTCCCCTCTCTCCCCTCCCCCAATTCCCTGTCTCGCCCAGGCCCGGCTGGTGCTCTCAGCAGCGGACGGGGTGGGCGCGCACAGGATGACAGAGCTAGCAGAGGAGCAGTACCAGCGCCGCATAGAGCAGGGCGCGGGCGATACACCATGCCTCATCCTCTCACCCCATCCACCCATTCCCCCATTTCCCCCCTCTCCTCCCCGCTCCCCTATTCCCTGCCTCGCCCAGGCTCGTCTGGTGCTGTCAGCAGCGGACGTGGTGGGCGCACACAGGATGACAGAACTAGCAGAGGAGAAGTACCAGCGGCGCATAGAGCAGGGCGCACCTTCCCCTTAAGCACTCTTCCCGCCTACTTCCCCTGTCTCCCCTCCCCCATTCCCTGCCTGCCTCTCCCAGGCCCGGCTGGTGCTGTCAGCAGCGGACGGGGTGGGCGCACACAGGATGACAGAGCTAGCAGAGGAGCATTACCAGCGGCGCATAGAGCAGGGCGCGGGGGATACACCATGCTTCAACCCCCTACCCCTTCCCTCTCTCCCCCTCCTTCCTCCGGTATCACCCAGGCTCGTCTGGTGCTGTCAGCAGCAGACGGGGTGGGCGCGCACCGAATGACGGAGCTAGCAGAGGAGCAGTACCAGCGGCGCATCGAGCAGGGCGCGGGCGCGGAGGGCGGGGGGCAGACGGCAAGGGACGACTGGGAGGAGGCGCAGAGGCGACTCATCACAGAGACTCTCCAGCACAGGGTGTCCGCTGACGTCACCATCTCGCAGTCGCTCTCCAAGGCGGCATCTCGCCAGGCGTCATCCCCCAAGCCACGGGAGGTGCAGCCGAGGGAGGCGCAGAGCTTCTCTCCTGTGGTGGACTCGCAGATGGCGCCTCCACTGGAAACGCCCTTCCAGGTACCTCCTACCTCTCTGCAGCACAGGGTGTATGCTGATGTGGCCATCTCCCAGTCGCTCCCCAAGGCAGCATCTCGCCAGGCGTCTTCCCCCAAGCCACGGGAGGTGCAGCCGAGGGAGGCGCAGAGTTTCTCTCCTGTGGTGGACTCGCAGATAGCGCCTCCCCTGGATACGCCCTTCCAGGTACCTGCCTGCCTCCTGGCTTCTTTATTCAAATATGTATGGCATCCTCACTCTCTCTCACGCCCCCTCGCTGCTCCTCTCCCTCTCATCCCAAGCACTCCCCGTCCTACTACTCACTCCTTCCCACATGCCCTCCCTTCCCCTCCCCCATAGCAGCAGCCACACATCCTCGACTCAGTCTACTCATTCGTCAACGATCCCCCTCCCATGCATGGCCCTCTCTGCCACCTCTCATTGCCCCTCACTGCATTTGCATCCCTTCACTCCTAATGTTGTTACCCCCCTCCACCCTGTCCCCTCCCCTCACAGCAGCAGCCGCACATCCTTGATTCCGTCTACTCCTTTGTCAACGACCACCACTCTCACGCATGGCCCCTCGCTGCCCCGCCTCCCGCTGACGCGCCTCCTGCTATTGAGGAGGGTGTACTAGGGGAGGGTGTTCTGGACGGGGAGGGTGTTGTGGGGGAGGTGTCATCTGGAGTGGAGGAGCGCATTGCACTGCTGGAGCAGAAGCACCTGGCGGCCATGGCTGCTGCTCGGTCTGCCACAGAACAGGTACGGGGAGAAAATCCGTGCACATACAGATTCCTTTTTTTGTGTATGCTTATAGCGAGTCGACTCAAGCACCTAGCGGCCATGGCTGCTGCTAGGTCCGCTACAGAACAGGTGTTGTGCATCCATGACCTATGCATATGCAGATACACATACATATTCGTATATGTACAATCCTTTACATCGCAACAACTGCCCCACCCCTTTAACTCACTTCTGTCATTCCTCCCTTCCCCCCTCTTCCTTCTTCCTGCCTCCCAGGAGCGATTCTTCATGCAGCACGTGAGCGAGCTGAGGGTGAGCGAGACAGCAGCGGCAGCAACGACACCTGTTAACCTTGCCCTTTTCCCTCTCCCTTTCCGCTCCGCCCTCCTCCCTCCATGCAGGTGCGATTCTTCATGCAGCACGTGAGCGAGCTGAGGGAGAGCGAGACTGCAGCGCGCATGGAGGCAGCAGCAGCACACGAGCGCATAGCCCTGCTCACCGCCCAGGTCGAAGCCCTCAACCTCTTCCAGCAGCAGCAACAGCAGCAGCAGGAGGAAGAAAGGCAGCAGCGTGAGAAGGAGCAGCAGGAGCAGAGGGAACAGCAGGAGTTGCAGGCTGCTGCGTTCCTGGGAGTAGATTCTGCAGCTGCTGCTGCTGCAGCGGCGGCGTCGGCAGAAGCAACGGCGGCAGCAATGGCTGCAGCAGCAGCCGAGGCCGAAGCAGCCGCAGCAGCAGCAGCGGAGCGAGAATCGGCACTCCATTCCCAGCTCACGGAAGTTTCCCAGGAGCTTTCCCTCCTTCAGGAGCGAGAGAGGGAGCTTTTATCGGCCCACGAAGCAGCAGAGGCGAAAGCACAGGCAGCAGAGGAGCGGGCGGCTGACTTAGCTAACAGAATCGCGCAGATGGAAGAAATGGAAGCAGCAGCAAAGGAAGCAGCGGCGGTGGCTTTGGAGCGAATGCAAGCACTGGCCGAACAGGTGAAGGAACTTTCTGAGAAGGAGCGCGCGGCCTCCGCACGGATGGGCGAGATGGAGACGCGGCTGGAGGAAGCTTCCGAGAAAGCGGCGGCGGATCACGACCTGATGGTGAAACTGGAAGACCGGGCAGAACGGGCAGAAAAAGAAGCGAGGAAGGCCCAGGAGGCGCTGGGAGCGGCCAATGAGCGAGTGAAATTTTTCTTCCGGGTGATGAGAGGGCTCCGGGATAGGGAGAGGGCAGCGAAAGAAGCTATGCACGCTGCGACAGACCGGCTTGAAGCTGCTGTGACTGAAGCGGAGAACCTCCGGAGGAAGGACGAGTTGATGCGGGAGGCGTGGGCGGTGGCGAGTGAAAGGATTGAGCTGCTGACGCGGCAGGTGCAGCAAGTGGAGGGGTTGAAAATGGAGGTGAAGCGAGAGGCTGTGGATGCGGCGAAAGTGTTTTTGCATGAGAGTGACGAGCACAGGCTTATGGCTGCTAGGGAGGAGTTGAGTGCGGCGGAGGAGAGAGAGAGGATGCTGCAGGCGCAGTTGGAGAGGCTGGGTGCTGAGCTGGCAGCGGCAAGAGATGACATGGCGGAAAGGGATGCCAGGCTGGCGGCGGTGGCTGCTGAGGTGGCGGAGAGGGAGCGGGTGGTGGAGGAGAGCCGGGCGGCGATTGGGGCGGCGGAGAAGAGGATTAAGGAGCTGGAGGAGCAGGTGGGGGTGGTGGAGGAGAGGGAGCGGAAAGCCAAGAGGGAGGCTGAGGAGGCAGAGGCGGTACTAGCTGCTGCTCTGGCTGCTGCCGAGACGAAAGACCGAGAGTATACCCTCATGGAGACGCCTCAGAAGACTGCTGCAGCTGCAGCAGCTGGAGCTGTTTCCGCTGTTGCTGCTGCTGCTGGTGCCAGCAGTGCTGCCGGTGCAGCAGCGAGCGGTGCAGCAGATCAGCTGATAGCCCGCCTGCAGTCGCAAGTGGCTGCCATGTCCAGTGAGCTTGAAGGGGCCCGCAACGCCGCTGCTGCTGCGAGCGAACGGAGTGCGTTCCTCATGCGGCAGGTGGCTCGGCTGAAGGGGACTGCTGCTGCTGACGCTGTGTCTCGGTCCCAGGGGGGTTCAGGAGGAGGGAAAGGGGAAGGGTCGAGCTCGAAACACAGAGTGGCGGCTTTAGAGGTGGAGATTCGAGCGTTGGAGAAGCGCGAACGGGCAGCGCGGGCAGAAGCGGAGGCGGAAAAGGCCCGGGTGCGGGAGCTTGCGGCGCAGGTCGGGCAGCTGGAAAGCAAGGAGCGTGCAGCCCGGGAGAAACTTCAGTCGTCGCAGGACCGGGTGGGGTTCTTCCTGCGTCAGGCTGTGGAGCTGAGGGAGAGGGAGGGCGCGAGTAAGAGCGCGCTAAAAGAGACTTTTAAGAAAGTGGAGGGGTTGTCGCACCAGGTGGGGCTGCTGCAGGGGGAGTTGGTGCGGGCGAGCAAGGAGTCCGGCAAGTCTACAGATGCTGTGGAGAGGCTGCAGCTGCTAACAATGGAGCTGAAAGAAAAGTAAGTGCTGTAAGGGTTGAAAGGTTTGTATTGTGGTATGAGGGTGAGTTGGCACCAGGTGGGGTTGCTGCAGGGGGAGTTGGTGCGGGCGAGCAAGGAGTCTGGCAAGTCTACGGATGCAGTGGAGCGGCTGCAGCTGCTGACCATGGAGCTGAAAGAAAAGTACGTATATGTGGGAGGTTGGGGGGTTGTTTTGACGGAAGGGAAGGGTGTGAGAGAGATGGGTGTTTGGTGGTGAGTCTGGGAAGTCTACGGATGATGTGGAGAGGCTGCGGCTGCTGACAATCGAGCTGAAAGAAAACTATGTGGGGGAAACCCATGTTTACTTGCCCTTGATTTGCTTGCCCTTGATTTGCTTGCCCTTGATTTGCTTGCCCTTGATTTGCTTGCCCTTGATTTGCTTTCCCTTGATTTGCTTTCCCTTCTTTTCTTTTCTTTTCTTTTTTTGCTTTCCGGCTCACTTCAAATCTGTGCCCTGCACGGTTTTTTAGATGCATTGTGACAACAGTGGTAGTGGTCGTAAGATGTAACGATGATGAAGTGTGGTGGTGGTGGTGGTCAATGGCCATACTGACGAGTGTGGCTTTGGTGGTGGTCGCAGGATCCACGAGACGTCTCGAGTGGCCAGCAGCATCAAGAAGGTCCCTGGCTCGTCAAAAGTCAATGGATTCGAACGATCGGGGGCAGGGCTTGGGGTGCTCAAGGCTCCTGAGCTCACTGCTTCAAATGCTGCTGCTGCTGCTAGCAATGCCTCTAGTAACGGAGCTGCTAGTGCTGCTGCTTCGAAAGGCGTGATAACAGGAAAGGGGAAGGAGGAGAAGAAGGATGATGACAATGATGACTTCCCTGGAGGGTCAGGCAGTGGGGGAGGAGGGGTAGGGGGACGAGGAGTGTCAGCTCAAGGGAAGGCAAGCAGCAGTGGCTCTCGGGCAGGCTCTCCCTCCTTTGGTGCTCTGGTGGGTCCCTCTTACTAAGCGTCTTTCTTGAGTGTGTTTCGAGTCTACTTGTAATGAGAGCAGCACTGGCTCTTGTGCTTTGGTGGGTCCTTCTCCCTCTTCCTCTCCCTCTCCCTCTACCATTCTTTCTTCCTTACAAGACACAGCTCACTTCACCTCAATTCACCTTGCTTCAGTCGCCACACCACACCTCACCCTACGCTCTTCATCTTCCGTTTCTGTTTCTTTCTGCCCACCTCCTTCCACCAGAAGGCAACCCAACACCCCACACAACCAAGCAGCACCGCTTTCTCCTTCCAGCAAGCAGCAGCAGCAGTCACAATAGCAGCAGCAGCCGCAGTCACAGCGGCAGCAGGAGCAACAGCAGGAGAGTACACAGGAGAACTCTCAGACACAGCAACACTGGTTGCTATGGTTACCACCCTCCAGTCCCAAGCCTCGTCTCTCCGAGCCTCCCGCCAAACCGCCCTCGCCTCCGTGGCGGCCTCCCATTGGCCGTTCCAATCGCTGCCCGTTTACGCTGCCCCGGTTAGTGCCTCTTCGGGCCACAAAAAGAAGGGAGGGAAAGAGAAGGACGGGAAGGGAGGAGAAGAATCCGGGTGGTGGTCGGACCAATCCCAGTCCCTGAAAGCAGATGATGCGTCTCCTGCCGCCCTCTCTCCCTCTTCCCCCACCTCTCCTCTGGATTCGTTTCGAAAAGCCCTCACCACACTGGCTCTCCCCATCCCCTTCCACCAACTGGGATTGAGGAAAAGGGGGTCTGCGGACCTTGTAGCAGGAGAGCCTGCACCAGAAGGACCTTCCCCAGGTAATGCCGAAGGTTCCGGGCGGAGGGAAGGGGGTGAGTGGGGATGGGTAGCTGCGGCAGTGCTGGTGCTCCTGCCACTGCTGCTAGGTCCTAGTGACGCTCTGGGAATGTGAAACGGTTGACTCTGGTTGACCTTTTGTTGGACTCTCTGTGCTGCTGGTTTATTTATGTATTACGTAGTATGCTGATCGTGGATTGAGGTTATGAGAATGTGTGTAGCAACTGTTTCTGTTGTGATGCTTTAGCTTGCAACAGGGTTTGGATATGCCTGTATTATTTGGTACCTGGCTTAGGGTGCGTTCCTGGTTCGTGGCAGGGCAACTGTAGATGGCAGCCGTGTTTTGCGCCTGCCACGTACTGCATATCACACCAAGTTGATGGCAGAATTCACCCGCCAACCATCTGCACGCTGATTGGCTGCGCGAAAATTTGGCACAGTGGCCCAACTCCCAACACCACATCGCCCGCCAAACAATACGTGGGGTACATCTCCACCTTGGTCGCACGTACAAGACAGAGGGTTGGTTTGGCCGGTAAAATTCCCGGCGCCAAACCCACGAAATTGTAAATCCATCTCCCGCGCCGCCAGTCCAGATCTGGTTTAGCACCATCCCCTTCATCGCCGTGATGCTGTGGAAACGAAAACTATAGCACAACTCACGCGTCACACAACCCCAACTCCACCCGTTCAACACGCAAGCATAGTCCCATAGCTAGCACACACCATGCCACCACGGAAACAGAAACCGAGCAGAAAGGGGAAGGAACAGGCCGACGATGACAAGCCCTGGGAGGATCCACCATACCGTAATACCCCGGATATAAGCGCACCTGCGCTTATAATAAAACAGTGTTTTTTGGGGGGGTGCGCTTATAATTGAGTCAGATTTATAAGCGCATGCGCTTATATAATAATAAATGCAAATTTATAATTCATTGGCACCAAACTGTACATCTCCTTCTTGTGATTTCAATCGAACCGAAGTGGTAGCGAGTCGTAATTCAGATTCGCGCGTGAGCGATTTTCTGCCGGCGCACAGAGGAAAATTTACACGTCACTATCAGAAATGCCAGCTCATACTGACTGGACGCGCAGTATGTGAGGTCCTCGAAAGTCAATCGAAGCGAAAATAGTTGTATCCTCACTGCAAAATTTGAAATCGCTACCGTTTTAATCTGGTTAAAATTTTAGAATTATACGTGCGCTTATAATAAATCAAGGTTTTACAGGGGGTGCGCTTATAAATGAGGATCGGCCATAAGCGCATTGCTCCAGATACAAGCGCATGCGCTTATAATAGGCCTGCGCTTATATCCGGGGCCATACGGTACGTTCAGTGGATGAAAGAAGAGCAGGAGCGTGGTAGAAACCGAGGGAAAATCAAGCACGAACACGCTCCTCGGCGCGACGGAGCAGGACCTAGCTCATCGCGGGCTGACGGCGCCGACAGCTCGGACGGAGGGGACACTGACATCTCGTCCGACGAACTGGAAGAGATTGTGTCGTCGAGCGGCAGCGATAGCGACAGCGACAACTCCAAAGCCGCTTCAGAAAGCGACGAAGACGAGTCGGCGTCGGACCCGGATGCCTCGGAGGCCGGACCTAGTAATAGCAAGCGGAAGCGCAATTCCAAGACTAAGCGCGCTTGGACCGACGAAGAGCTCACGGCATTGGCTGCGGCCAAATGGTACACCCGCGAAGATCTGAAGCAGATGCGGGGTAAGCAGGGCAACCAGTATTGGAAGAAGTTGCGCGCGCACATGAAAAAAAGCGGCACCAAGTGGAGGCGCAACAGCACTGCCATGCAACACGCTTGGAAACGCATGGAGGCGGAGTACCGTGACACTCTGCGCAACAACGGGACAAGCGGGCGGAAACCGAAGAGAAAGAAGCCCTGGTTTGAGTACGTATACCTGCTCAAACGCATCCCTGCAACTGTCAAGCCTCACGTCGTCGAAGGCGGAGGCGCTGGTGAAAGCCACGTCGACCCGCAAGCCCCGCTCCAGCTCGACGCCGATATGCCCGAGGGGGGTACCACAACCCCCGTGCCCCGTGGTCGGCAACGACGCATGCCTCGTCGCGCGGCCGCCATTGAAGGTAACAGTTGTTCATGAAGCCCCATTCGTCATATACGACAGGGTGTCTATTGGCTCTTCCAAGGCACACGCGGTATGTTCATTTTTTGCAAAGCATCACTTGTGGTATGTGCAGACGTTTGTTAGGGATTCAAAGATGCGTGATCTGCAAAATCCCGGGCATGTCAATGCAGCAACAAGATACGTACAACATTCAATTCCATCAAATGTCTACCTCCCGGCCCTGCCCCCCCTTTCCAGCCACGCCCAGCCCCGTACCGGCACGGCGTTCACGCGTGAACGAGACGGCGAGCATGGCGGCCGCCAAGGTGATTTCCGACACCCTGAATGCGTGCAACGGGCAAGCCATGAGGCAGCTGAGCGAGGCAACGCAGCTGCTCATCGCCGCAATACACATGGCGGCGGGGATGTGGCGACCCCCTCCAGCACCGCCCCTACAGGCGACGGTACCTGCACCTGCACAACCACCTGCCATCGCCAACGACGCGGGCAACGAGGTGAATGCGGCCTTGGTTGACAGGGAGCTGGCAGATGCGCCAGAAGAAGATGAAGGGGCGTCGCCGGATGACATGCAGTCTCGCTAGCCGACGGCGCGGTCATTGCGCCAGGGGCGGTGCCTCCTGCGGTAAGCTCTATGCATGTGTTTGCCGAAATGCTTACGGCGCGCACGATAACCTGCTTGGGTTTCAGAACCAGCCGGCTGCCACCTGTATGCAAGCATGCCGCTCCGGTGGTACCACGGCGGGCCGATGCCTGTCACCTCCCTCCAGCTGTTTGTGTCTTCTGTCATCCTCCGTGGCTGGTCATGGTGCAGGATCATGTTGTGCAATATGATAATGCAGGCGGTTCCGGCGCAGACGCGGGTCAGCTTGCATTCGTGTCGCTTGCTGAAGAGTCGCCACCTCTGTTTGAGTGCGCCGAATGTCCGCTCAACGACCATGCGGGTTGCGGAGTGGACGTAGTTGTACGTCTGCTCCCAGCTTTTCATGAGGCGTCTGCGCGAGGCGTTGACTGGTGTGAGGCAGTAGTCGCGGAGCGGGTATGCTGCATCGCCGACAATCTGGAAAGGCGCAATGTCACCTCGCTCGAGTCGTGTGTGCAGGTCAGACTGCTGGAAGACGCCCTGGTCGTGCATGGAGCCAGGATGCCCTACAACATAGTCCCAGATGTAGCCTTTGCTGTCACATGTAAGTTGTAGCTGCGTGGAATAGACGCCTTTGCGGTTGTAATACTCCTGCCGGTGATTCTCCAATCCCTTGATCTCGATGTGTGTGCCGTCAATAGCGCCTATGACGTTTGGCAGCCCCCTAACCGCTTTAAACTCAGCAGCCATGTCCTCCATCTCGTCATGTGTTGGGAAGCGCACCCATGTCCGTTTGAACCGCCGCGGGAAATGCAAGAGAAAAGCATCGACAATCTTGTGCAGGATAGACTTAGGAATGCCGAAGTAAATAGCCATGTCTATGTACGGCATTGCAGAGGCGAAATACTTGATCGGAATCAAGCAGCACATCTCCACCGGGATGCCGTAACGATCCACGCAAAGGCTCATAGGCTGAGCCATCGCGGGAGTAATCTCCGCCAACACCTCTCGCGATATGCGGAACATGTTGATGAAGTCGTCGTCGTCCATCACCTGCAGGTCGTCCATCCATTCCGAGATACGGCGGGAACGGCGCGCTTTGCGTGCACGCTGGAGGCGATCGCGCTTTGCGCGCTGCGCGGAGTCCGATTCTGCAGCGACGCCCTGCATGGTGATCCACTGCACAGCCGCGCTAACGGCCAGGAGGTGGAAGTGCTGTCTATAGAAATCGAACAAGACAGCTAGGGCTAACACGAGGAGAAGACCCAGCCTTTGCGGCATGGCTAGATCCTTTACCAGGTGTGGTTGTGTGCTTCTCGCCAGTGCTCTATAACCGTGACTGCACCGACGCATGCTTGAGTTTACAGTTTGTGGTATTTGGTTTGCAGGAGGGAGTTGTAGTCGAGTCATGGATGGCTGCTAGTTTACAAGTTTCGTTTGATTGCGTCTCGGCCAATGCAATGGCTGGTTGGTTCATGAGTCGTGACTTCTCATGCAGCCGGTTGACCGCTTGGTGCTCTGTATTTGCGT